CACTACTAGCTAGTTAATGTGTGTCTGAAGGATCGTGTGGGTTTAAGGTGTCATGTGTCGAATAATAAAGATAAGTCGAAAATACTAAGACAGTTTTAAAAGTAAAAGATCTTCGAAGTCATATTTTGTGTGTCTTAAGGTAACTAATATTGTGTTGTTTGTATGGAACTACATGATCATAATCCAATAAACATATATATTTCCCTGTTTTTCGCACTACAAAAGTTTATTGTAACATAACAATATTTTTTCTTCTTTTTCTTTAATTTGTGCGTGTGAGAATCGCATCTTTTCTTATCAAGGTTAATTTAAAAACAATAGAGAACTAATACAAACGATTGTTTACAAGAAGAGAGTGAATGAATAATATAATATTAGACCACATATGATCCGATCATATATATACATATAGATGGTTAGTTTTAACATATCAGCTATAGTGAAGATATAATAAAAAATCTATAATAAAATAAAACTATAATACATGTATTGTTCGAATAAAAGGATTCCTTATGACCGAAAATAACAAAGAAAAATACCGTTGAATAGATTTGAACCAACCCAGCAGTGGGTAACCATATAGTAGTTCAGGCGCTGGACTCGCTATATATCCCCCCGGGTTCGACTCTCATTATGAACAAAGGTGTTGATGATGTTCAAGGCTAGGCTTTTTTTACTGGCTTACCCATCTCTAATTAAGTTAGTAACTCCGAAGGTAAAAGTTTGACCTTGACCAGTTGAGACAATATGATGTTGATAACGGTCGAGGCAGCTAGATGATGTGGTGGTCTGGTGTGGAAGCAACAATAATGCGATGGTGTGGTGCACAATGAAAAAATATAGCGGAGTGTCATTAATTACCAAAAAATAATAATATTAATCTGATTCAAAGTACGGATGTTAAGTTAATACTGGAATTTTTGAACTAGGAATTGGAAAAGGATAGTTTAGGAAAAATCATAATAAAATAAATGGAACTAGTTTCTTGAGTTTTCCAAATGGCACATTTTTGTCCCATCTCACCTGCAATAGATCAAGCGATCAAATCTCCTATTGGCCGAACTGAATCTAGTTTCTTATGATCCACCTTTAAGCTTTTAATATTCTTTTATATTTCAACAAGTTCATATGAAACTCGTAGGGATGGAACATATTCATAACAAAGCAGCAGATTGTCACGTGAAAGATTAATTTTAATTTGATCTTTTCAAAAAATAGAGGGTTAATAGTTGACCTGTGAATTTTATAGAGTTCAAATAGTACATCTAATCGAGCATTTGATAATTTGATATATGTAGTCTCCACCACTGGTGGCTAACAGCTTAATATAAAGAATATTTACTAGACTTCTGAAGTGTCATTTAAGAAAATGTGTATACTTCGTACTAAACGTAAAGAATAATACAGTATCATGTTATTATAGTTGACCAACTGAATTACACAGTAATTCTGAACTACAAATACGTCTACAAACCCTCCTCGTTTCTTCACACAAGTCCCCATTTCAAAAGACTCCTTTGCTGTAACTGTAAGTCAACTCCCAAAAAAGTTAAAATGGCGACCCAAAACGCGATTCTAAAAAACGCTCTCATTTTTTTCCTCTTCATTTTAGCAATCTTAGCCGAGACAGCGTTCTCACAAAATTGCCAGGATACTAGTTGCCCTGGCCTTAAGGAATGCTGCAACAGATGGGGCTATTGTGGCACCAAAGGCGATTACTGTGGATTTTTCTGTTTCAGTGGTCCTTGCTTTATCAAAGGCAAATCCTATGGATATGACTACAACGTCGATGCTGGTCCACGTGGTAAAATAGAGAGTGTCATCACACCAGCGTTGTTCGACAGCATCATGAGCAAAGTCCAAAACAATTGCTCAGCAAAAGGATTCTACACTTATGAGGCTTTCATTAAAGCCTTTAAATCGTTTGGAGCTTACAAAGGAAAAGTAGCTAAACGCGAGATTGCCGCGATATTGGCTCATTTCTCATATGGATCTAAAAGTAAGTTTCATTATACTAAAGCAAAAAAAGTGTTTTTCTCTCCCAATTCTATTTTACGTTATTTGCAGTTCAATGCTGGAATAACTTGCTAAATAGCAATCGAGCTCGTCCAATCATTTAAAATTCCTCGTTTGCAAATCATGATTACATGCAAACGTTCGCGTTTGCGTTCGAAGAACAATTATCATGATACATATCTACATTTTTTTTAAAAAAAAGAAAATTGGAAATCTCTAACATATTCTACGTTATGTAAAGACTTTTGCTACAAAGAAGAAATATCGTCGGAGAAGTACTGTTCAAAGAGCAAGAAGTACCATTGTGAACCGGGAAAAAAATACTATGGTCGAGGTTTGCTCCAATCAATCACGTGGAACGAGTATTATGGTGCGGCTGGTAAGCACCTAGGGTTACCTCTATTGAAGGATCCAGATTTGGTGGCTCGTAGCCCTGAAGTGGCTTTCAAATTCGCCATGTGGTTTTGGAATAGGAACGTGCGTCCTGCTTTGTACTTAGGATTTGGAGAAATCACAAAGAGGGTCGATGGCCGAGAATGCAGTAATAACTGGCGTCGTGACGGTGCGAATAACAAGGTTAAGCAATACATAGAGTTCTGCACGATGCTTGGGGTTACTCCTGATCAAGGTCTCGATTGTTTTTAGTTAGGACATTTATACTACGCTTGTAATAATTCGAACCATTCTTACTCAAGGAATATCGCATGACGATTCCGAACTATCATATAAGGAACTTGAATTTTTGGTTCTGGATGACGATTATTATATTACAAACTTTAAAAATTTGTATGAATTTTTAATAAATGGAATGTTAATTAACAAACATAGAAAATCTTTTTTATAGTTTGTAAAAAGTTGTTATGTGATGTACTTAATTAGACAAAAAGATAAATACTATATTATAAAATAATGATGTAAACAAAATATTTAATTGAAGGCCTTTACCAAAAAATGAAAACATATATTACTACAAATTGTACCCCTAAAGCATGCGACATGGAAGAGAACCATGAAATATAGCTTAGTGGTTTACGTTTGTGTAGTGGCTATAGGTTGATCAATTAACCCGATATAATATTTATTATTGATTGAAAAAAAAAAAGATAAGCATGCGCATGGAGAGAACATGCAACACTGAAAAGCAAAACAATGTAAGAAAGAATGGGATTCAAAACTTTTATTTATGCTGTCCCAGTCACCACCAACCCATATCCAATCCTGAGTAATCATTTAAGCATAGAATGAGGTTGAGAGTGACTTTAATTTTTTGTTGGAAGTTTTACAAAAAGAAAACATAGAATGGGGATGACGGATTAGCGATCCACTTACTAAAAAAATAGAAACTTAAATTAAGGGTGAAGAACTACAGATTGATTTAATAATCAAATCTAATCAATCGCACTAATATTATTGCTCATTTTGATCCAGATCAAGAGATTTTTTTAATGCCAGTTCTTTATTAATATATTCACAAATACTACAAGTAGTGAGCAATATTGATATCTCCACTACTGGCGAAGAAAAGCTTTTTTGTTGTTGTTGTTGGTATAATTTATTGTTATCTATATATAAAGATAGCTTGGTGCTGCCACCTCAGCAGCCATCTATGCAATTATTTTTTTTTTAAATTTTTAGTTTGTCCGGTTTCTTCAGTTACGGCAAATGATGAGACGTCTTTAAATAAATCAAATATCACACTACTAGAAACTAAAATTAAACAAACTATATGAACGACAACAATCACGGAATCACCATCAAAAGAGAATTGCATAAACAAATTTTTCGACGGAAGTAATATTTTCTAGAAAAAAAACTCAGCTCAGCTTAACCATAAACGCTGGACTTTCTACCAATCCCAAAAAGGATCCATGAAATCCATGCCAAATTGGAGTCACCAACGGCACACCCAAAAAACCAATTCCAAAGCTGAGAAACTGATCAGCTCCCCAATATGATGACGAATAGAGGTATATCTAAGAAATCATGGAAGGGGTTAGACCGGCACCGATTCTGGAAAAAAGCACTGCAAGAGTGGACAATACCGAAATAAACGTCACTGAATCACCCAAGGAAGAAAGAGAAGGAGGATGAAAAAAATGACTCAATTAGAGACCAAAGGAATGAGTATGAACAAAAGGTTGGTCCGACCAAAATTTCAATCACCCTCTTTCAATTGAAGCACCCTCTATCAACAATAGAAGAGTTTTGCCAACATTTGAGAGAGCTATCGATTAATACCTACAATTATGAAGGGTTAGAAACGGACACAGCTTTGTATAATCAAAATGAGATTTCATAAACATCGAACGAACAAATAAATATAGCTGGAAAATGAGCCAATATAAAATAATACAAAAAATTACAGACTAAAAAAAAACTTTCATACTAACCATCCAAACCCGATTTCAATATAGACATTTTGTACTTCTTTTGACTCAAGGCCTTATACAAAATATACTAACAGAGAAAGTGCTTTCACAATTACAAATTAAAAAAACAAAAAAAACAAATACTTCATAAACAAAAATAAATTAACAAGAATAAATATAGCACTTCCATAACATTAACCAAAAAATTATTAAAAAAAAACACCCCGAATAACACCTTTTATAAGAGACATAAGTCTCCCATATATAAAACTATAAAAAAGGAAAAAAACATGTGTATAATATAATAGAGAAGAATCGTAATATAAAAACAATGGTAAACGTCCGCGCGTAGCGCGGATCATACACTAGTATTACTTATAAAGAAAGAATTTTGAACCTTGCTAAAGAAAGCAATCTATATTTATTGTAAAGAAATAATCAATGAATTTCAAACGTAACTGACCACTGTTTCACTACAAAAGCGTCTCCAAGCCAACCTGTTTTTTTTTTTCACACGACTGAGTTTCCAAATAAGTCGTTTCTCCATATCTTAAAACCAAAAGACTAATTATGTCGACCCAAAACGCGACTGTTAAAAACGCTCTCATTTTTTTCCTACTCACTTTTGCCATCATGGCCAGAACCGTGTTCTCCCAGAATTGCCAGACAACTGGGTGTCCAGGCCTTGAGGAGTGTTGCAGCTCGTGGGGTTACTGTGGGATAAAAGATGACCAATGTGGCTTTTGGTGCTTCAGTGGCCCTTGCAATCTCACAAACAAATCCTATGGATTCGACTACAACCTCAATGCCAGTCAACGCGGTCCAATAGAGAAAATTGTCACACCAGCGTTGTTCAAACGCATCATGAGCAAAGTAGGAAGCAATTGTCCTGCAAAAGGGTTCTACACTCACCAGGCTTTCATCGCCGCAGTTAAATCCTTCGGAACCTATAAAAGATCGGTGGCTAAGCGTGAGATCGCAGCCATATTGACACATTTCTCTCACGGATCAAAAAGTAAGCCCACTATACTATTATTATTTTTTTTTTTTGACATCGTCCACTATACTAGCTAAACACACAACTAATGTCTTGAGATCCACTTTTTTTTCTTATGGCCACTGAAGAATTTACGAACGTTGCAGCCGCGTTTAAAGAATCTTGACCAATAAATAACATATATTTTTTTTTTCGGAAGACTCTAACTAATAGGATATATTGTGTTAATTCAAAGGCTTTTGTTACAAAGAAGATAAAGCGAAAGGGAAGTACTGCTCCCCGAGCAAGAAGTACCCTTGTGAACCGGGAAAGCAATACTATGGTCGTGGTCCGCTCCAAACAATCAGATGGAACGAGTACTACGGTGCAGCGGGCAAATTCCTCAGGTTGCCTCTGTTGAAAGATCCGGATATGGTGGCTCGTAGCCCGGAAGTGGCTTTCAAATTTGCAATGTGGTTCTGGACAAAAAACGTTCGTCCGGCTTTGTACTTAGGATTTGGAGAAACCTCAAAGAGGGTGAACGGTCTATTATGCGACAGCTTACATCCTGAAGATACGATGAACTTAGTCAAGCAATATGTGGACTTGTGCAAGATCCTCGGGGTTACTCCGGATGAAGGTCTCCATTGTTAAAACAACATTAAATAGTGTAATACTACGTTGATTTTGAATTAATTATAATTAATTATTGTCTTGGATTGTTGCTGATTCGCCTAGAAAACCATCATGCATTAAGAAATATGATGAGTATCTACATATGTAGAAAGGCAAGATCTCTAATCTGTAGAACAATTCTCACCATGGTGTATGTGTTTTGTGATCCTGTTTGGCCATAAGCAATAACGCATACAATGTAACCGTCCATCAATGATATCTGATTAATGGTTGTGTTTCTCTGAATACATCATCAGTACATAATAAATAATTTAATATTCTAATTCTTTAAAAAAAACTCAGCTTACCACATACACATGGAGTTGTGTTCAGATTTTCTTTCAAAAAAAATATAATTCAGAATTTTATATAAATAAATTGTAACACAAATTGTAAATTCAAACTTGAGAGATTTTTAGATTTTGAGTTAGTTACGAGTTTCATTTTTAAAAACACTGTAATTCTAATATATTTTTGCTTACAAGTTATATGTTCACCTTATATACATAAAATGGTAATTATGCAGAAAAAATGATGTCCTCCTATAACATTTTTGTCCTTGATAGAGAATATTATACAAAATAAAATTTAATAGAGATTTAAACAAAAAAATTTCCTCAAATTGTAAGGTTAAGCACTTAAGCATATATGAATTAATTCCTCTCTTCGCATATAAAAAAAAAGTTATTTGGAAGTGGTCGATGAATAACCGAAGACTTAAACTTTTCTATTCACCGGTACCGACGTACCGACGTGTAGACCATCCTAGAAGGAAAATAATTGACGAGTTTATATATAAATTTAACTATCGCCATAGATCTGTTGACGAAAAGGCAAATCAATGTACATAGGCTAGAAGAATCATTCAAAGTGAAAGTCTACTCTTATGAAGCTAAATATCATTTTAAGGCTAGACATCCTTTATCCATCGTTAGAAACTAACTACACATTGCTTGTCAATCATAAATATTTATTAGTAGTGGTAAATACAAATAATAATGTTATTGAATACTTTTATGATTCGCAAAGGGTCGAATAAGAAAAATGAATTATATTTAAGGGCAAATTTGAAAGATGCCTGGAATAATCTAAACTTAATCTGAGATTTATATACATTGAATTTGAATAGCCGCCAGCTACTGGACCCAACCACGGCTCACATGGTACCAAGATTAATTCTGACATATGCGACTTCTCTTCTTAGGGCCGGCTTTTGGAAACTCTATGCTAGCTAGTAGCAACTGATCGACAATATATATAATTATTTGATGATTGGTCAATTACTATTGAAATGTTTAACTGTACTAAGTACTAAGATAAAATGTCAGAAAAGGAATAAAACATTAACTTCTATAATCCATGACTTGTTTTCTTACCGCCTATTTTAAATATATTTCATTTTATAATAGATGATAATAAACAATCATAAAGATACATATGCTTCATTGTTTAGTGAACCAAAAAAAAACAATTTTTTTATGATGAATGAACACAAAAACCGTGTAATAAAGTATAAGTTATATATAGAATTAGAATACATTATAAGTTTTACATTATGCCATCAGGCATCAGCCATAATATTATTTTTAGATTGTAGACCTTAACATTTCTCTGGTTAAATACGATGTCAATTCGATAGAAAAACCATTTTTAAAATATTTCTCTCAAAAAGACCTCGTCTTATACAGTTTGGGAAATCAAATAAGAGATTTTATAACAGAATTAAAAAATAGTACTATATAACTGTGTTTTTAAAAAAAATCATTTAACAAATTAAATATCTTCTTTATAATAAAAAAAACAAATTAAATATCTTAAGCAAGAGGAAGATTAAAAGTCAAAGTCGTATTTCGGAATACATAATTGATTGTAGTATTATAGAGAACAACATTTTATGTCCTCCCAATCCAAAAATGCAAATGACCAAACTACCCAACATCTGGCCGTATATATACCTCACGACCTCTTCCTTCTCATCTACAAACAAATAACACAAAACATGGCTCTCACAAAAATCTCCTTAGTCCTTTTCCTTTGCCTCTTAGGTTTATACTCTGAAACCGTCAAGTCTCAAAACTGCGGTTGCGCCCCAAACCTGTGTTGTAGTCAGTACGGTTACTGCGGTTCCACCGACCCTTATTGCGGTACTGGGTGCCGATCAGGCCCTTGCAAAAGCAGTGGTGGAAACCCTCCTGCCACTGGTGGTTCGGTCGGTACCATTGTGACTCAAAGTTTCTTTAATAGTATTATCAACCAAGCCGGTAGTGGCTGCGCCGGAAAAAGATTCTACACCCGCGACTCTTTCATCAGCGCCGCTAATACTTTCCCCAGCTTTGCAAATTCTGTTACCAAGCGTGAAATTGCAACCATGTTTGCTCATTTCACTCACGAAACTGGACGTAAGAATCCATATCTATCCTCTCTTTATATAATATGTACTATTATCTATACATCATGTCCCATTCCAGTTTTTAGTAAACTATAATAAATACGAGTACAGTATATTATGTCAAAACCTTAGGCATGGATATTTTTAAATGTCTGTTTTTAAATTACAAGCTGATGATTAGAATACTATAACACGTTAAGCGTTTTGAAACAATCATAGTAAAAGACGTACGTATAAGACTAAACCTTCGATATAATAAAATTGAACATGATTTGACGTGATCTCAATAAATTGGAATGATCCTAAAGCAGTTTGTTTCATTTGCATCTCTATACCATATAGATTTCTGCTACATAGAAGAAATAAAGGAGCGTCACATGACTACTGCGATGAAAACAACAGGCAATACCCTTGTGCACCGGGCAAAGGCTACTTCGGCCCGTGGTCCAATCCAATTATCATGGAACTACAACTACGGAGCTTTGTGGCCAGAGTCTCAACCTTAACCTCCTAGGCCAGCCCGAGCTAGTGGGTAGCAACCCAACTGTGGCTTTCAGGACGGGTCTGTGGTTTTGGATGAATAGCGTAAGGCCGGTACTTAACCAAGGATTCGGAGCCACCATTAGAGCCATCAATGGTATGGAGTGTAACGGTGGGAACTCAGGTGCAGTCAATGCAAGGATTAGGTACTATAGAGACTATTGTGGACAACTTGGTGTGGACCCTGGTCCTAACCTTAGCTGCTAGAAAGCTCTTCCAACACAAACACGCACACACGTTACCTGGCACGTGTTGTGGGAAGTTAGTATTCAAGGTGAAATAATAAGTGAAGTAATAAAGTTAAATCTCACGTATGTACTCTGTGTTGGGTCTCAGTGTTCCCTGCGTCACAAGTAAAAAGTTGTTTGTAATAATCTTGTGAAAGTGCTCTTCTTTTCTTTTATCATGTCTTGTGAAGTGAATTCAACATTAATAAATGTCTGAGTTTGACATTTACGGTATCTGCTTTTAGGATATTCGCACCTAATACTGTAAAATAACTGTAAATATAGTGTTCGTGATAATTTAGGATATGTGAATAAGAAATTTACTAGCTTCAGGGTATTAGCTTGTGTTTCAACTCGGAATTCCCAATTCTATTAAGAAAAATTACAAAATTTGACAATCAGTAAGAGACTTATTAATTGGTTCTAGGAGCCTTATGCATATTTAGGCCAATGATCGAGACTATACACAACAAACGGTAATCGATGAAGCCTACCGTTTTCCCTTATAATCTTTTTTTTTTTTGGGTGAAAATCCATACTATCTCATGCCATTATTATATTTTAATCTCAAAATGGTAATTGGTTTCTTGTGAAAAAAAGAGAGAGAGGATGTCACACACTTCTATTACCCTGACAATTTCGTTGTAATATAAAGTTATCTAGTACTTTTCACTATTTACCTGCCGTATTATTGTTTAAAATTTAATACGAATAGATATGATGTTGAGTCTTAATCTACGTACGTAAATTGTGTAGGCCATTCACAGCTGGGGAGGTATAGTAGGAATGTAGGATGGTTTTGTGGCTTCTTTTTGTGCTTCTGCTATGGATGCCATCTGTATGAATTAAAGACATAAAATGCAACGTTTTGACCTTACCTTAATTATAGGATGGTTTTGTGGCCGTTTTTCGGGCTGCCTTTTCTTTTTTTCTTAAGAGTGATCTTGGATCTTTGTACCAAGGTGATTCATGTATTATGTGCATGTATCTCGGTGGTTTTATCCTACGTGTGACATTTTCGCTTACGAGATATGAGATTACTCTGACCAAAATAAATGGAAAAGTCAATGAGATTTTGAAGTAGACTCATGGGCGTTGCCGCGTTAAATGTGGGTTCTCTCCATGATTTTATTTTATCCCAAAAAAATCTGGTATGCAATCTAAATTAAAGCTGACATAACTAAAATGTATATTTTTATAGTATATGTACAATGGAGTAACAAACATAATTTTCCTCCAATGTGAAATAATCCACGCTTTCATCTCTTAGTCGATCTTTTTCCGACTATGATTGAAAGCAAGTAGAGAGACTTTTACCAAAAAAAAAGCAAGTAGAGAGAGCGAAAGAGAGAGAAGGGGAAAACTATTGATGTTGAAGTGAAGAATATGAAGCGGAGTGTTGCAGAGTTATTAAACTCATATAACAAAGTAATACCATTATGCTATTTTATTGACGTATTGTCTTCTACTATCCTTTAAAAGTAACTTCTGCTGGTTGAGGAACAAGTATAATTCACGATTGCTATTTACCTGTAATTTACATATATTTCCTAAGAATTTAAAACTACCATATTATTTAAATTTATATACCTCTTATTAATATACTATTAATAAGGCTAAAATTGAAATATTTTCTAAAATTCCTGCATTAAAATTCGAAAACAATTTATATTTTCAAACAAAAAATAAATTTGAAAACAACCAATATTTTCGAAGGGAAAATAAATTAAATTTCTTTCAGAATGAAATACTCTTTGGTAGGCAAAGCACCAGCATACTACTTGTTTGAAAAAGAAAATAAAAATGTTAGACCATGTCCACAATATTAATGTGGGGAAAGAGCAAAGTAAAAGTCAAACCCGTTTTAGAATAGTACCAAATCAATTGTTAGAGAGAGAAACATTTATTTCGGCCCACCCTAAATAAGCAACATGTATCCCTATGTATATAATACCTCACAAACTCTTTCTACTCATCCACAAACAATAACTCAAAACATGGTTCTCACACGTATCTCTTTAGTTCTTTTGCTCTGCCTCTTAGGTTTCTACTCTGAAACCGTTAGGTCTCAGAATTGCGGTTGCGCCCCAAACGTCTGTTGCAGTCAGTATGGTTACTGCGGTACCACTGATGCTTACTGTGGTGCCGGGTGCAGATCAGGTCCTTGTAGAGGCAGTGGTGGATCTGTCGGTAGTATTGTGACACAAGGTTTCTTTAACGGCATTATCAACCAAGCCGGTAATGGCTGCGCCGGAAAAAGATTTTACACCCGCGACTCTTTCATCAACGCCGCTAATACTTTCCCCAGCTTTGCGAATTCCGTTACTAGACGTGAAATTGCTACCATGTTTGCTCATTTCACTCACGAAACTGGACGTAAGATTCTTTTCTTTTTAATATATATATTTATATATATATATTTTTTATTTTTTTTCTATACACCTACTCTATCATGATGACTAGTTCTAACTTTTTTAAACTATAACATAAATATAAGTAAACTATTCTCAACCAAAGGATTGGATATCTCTATACGTCTGCTTTTGAAATTTAAGAATGGTGATTAGTAAATTATAACACATTAAGTATTAAAATCATTCATGTTGAAAACATTCGATATAATAAACAAATGAAGGTTTTGACTTGATCTCAGTTGATTGGGCTAATTATAAATCACTTTGTTACTCTATATCGTTCAGACTTCTGCTATATCGAAGAAATAAATGGTGCGTCACGTGACTACTGCGACAAGAACAACAGGCAATACCCATGTGCACCGGGCAAAACCTACTACGGTCGTGGTCCGATCCAACTATCATGGAACTACAACTACGGACCTTGTGGTCGGAGTCTCGGTCTCGACCTTCTACGCCAGCCCGAGCTTGTGAGTAGCAATCCAACTGTGGCTTTCAGGACGGGTCTATGGTTTTGGATGAACAGGGTAAGACCGGTGCTGAACCAAGGATTTGGAGCCACCATTAGAGCCATCAATGGAATGGAGTGTAACGGTGGGAACTCGGGTGCGGTCAATGCAAGGATTAGATACTATAGAGACTATTGTGGACAGCTTGGTGTGGATCCTGGTCCTAACCTTAGCTGCTAAATAGCTCTTTAAACACATACGCACACACACGTAATATGGCACGTGACGTGGGAAGTTGCTGCTACTAAAATAAATAGTGAGATAATAAAGTTGAAGTTAAATCTCACGTATGTACTAGTACTTTGTGTTTGGTTTCAATGTTCCCTGTTTCAGAAGCAAAAGTTGTTTGTAATAATCTTGTGAAACTGATTTTCCTTTTCTTGTGTATCGTTTTGGGAAAGTGAAGTTGAGAGTAATACGTGTTTGAGTTTGACATTTACAATATATATATATATATATGGTATTATATTACTATTATATAATGTGTTTTTATCACGTGAAATAAACGGCAGTAGCACCACCGTAATTGTTTAGTGGTTGAATAATTTCGGTTTTCAAGTTTCAACTAACAAAACCATGTTTTATGCGAGTGATTGAGACCATGTTTTTTTATCATCTATAACCTACATGGCCACACATACACATGATCATATTTCAAAATGGATAATAGTCCAACGATTGTGCTAATCAAAATCAGTAAACCGTAAATCACGATTGAGGCCATGTATATCTTAAAGAACTGTAACATATTTTAGTTGCTTTTTAATCGACGGAATATGTTTTATTTATTTACTTTAAAATTTCTTTTTTTTCTTCTATTAGGCCTAGAAAACATATTCATTACCTTTACATTTCTCCCCCGCCATGTTTACTACTGATACTTTTTCTTTACGAAATCTATATAACAAAATTATTTGTAAGTAAAAAAGAATATCAACAATTTAAAAAAGAAATATTCTGAATTTTTATAATACTTAAATGAAAGTTGTTTGTGTGGAAATTTCCCTGCCTAACTTGCAAAATCAAAAGTCTTGCATGAGTTGACGTTGACTTGGAAATTGTCCAAAACACTTGTTTTCCACAACGTCTTCTTCACGGATGAATCCTATAATCGTCTTTACTCTCCCTCACTGTCAGCTTCATCTCCACTATAAAACACCAGCCTAATATACCTCTCTCAGCCTCACACACACACACACACACACACACACCGAAAAAAAAACAAAATAAACAATGTCAACTTACGCCAAATCCAACATAATAAAACACCCATTTGTACTTCTTCTCACAACTCTCTTTGTCTTCATCCTAACAGTTTCCAAACCGGTAACCTCCCAAAACTGCGGATGTGCCTCTGACTTCTGCTGCAGCCAATATGGTTACTGTGGTCAGACCGACGATTACTGCGGCGATGGCTGCCGTGAAGGTCCTTGCCATAGCGTTAGTGCCGGTGACGGAAACAGTGGCGGTGGCGGAGACGCCGTTTCGCTCGAAGGAACGGTAACACCAGAGTTCTTTAACTCAATCATAAGCCAAGCAAGAGATGACTGTGCAGGTAAAGGGTTTTACTCTCACAACGCCTTCATTGCCGCAGCCAATTCCTACCCTAGCTTTGGTTCTTCCATCTCAAAACGTGAGATCGCTGCGTTCTTCGCTCACGTCACCCACGAAACTGAATGTAAGTCAAAGTTCAATTCGATTTTGGGATTAAAAAAAGATAGTTCTTTAATTATTAAACTTATTTTGAGCCTATTAATATATATAACTATAATAGATGTTGTTATTCATTTATATGTTTAAAATACTAAAATCATCAAAAAAAAATATTTTAAGGTTTGGTAACTTTGGTTCGAATTATATGTCCACTACTAGTATTCATTTTTGTAACCAGTTACTTATACCTCGTTGCAGTCATGTGCTACATTGAGGAAATTGATGGACCAGCCAAAGCCGAAGACTATTGCGACAGAGAGAACAAAGACTTCCCATGTGCACAGGGAAAGGGTTACTACGGTCGTGGTCCGATCCAGCTCTCTTGGAACTACAACTACGGCCTCTGTGGCAGAGACCTAAGCGAGAACCTATTGGCTTCCCCAGAGAAAGTGGCTCAAGACCCGGCTCTTGCCTTCAAAACCGCTTTCTGGTTCTGGACTACTAACGTTCGCGGGAAATTTAACCAGGGCTTTGGCGCCACGATCAGAGCTATAAATGGTATGGAGTGTAACGGAGGAAATTCAGCAACTGTCAACAAGAGGATCGGTTACTTCCGAGACTACTGTGGCAAGCTTGGAGTCGAACCTGGAGATAACCTCTCTTGTTAAAGTTTACTCACTATCCATCCGAAAGATAAGAATAAGAGATCACATAAGATGATGAGGAAAAATATATCATGTAATATTAATGTTGTATTAAAAATGTAACGATGAACGAATTAATTTAACTAAATGGGTCGATTGAGCTCTGAATTTAATGAACCATGCTGCAAAAGGAGAACGTACGGTAACCAACACCAATTATGAGCAAAGAATAGTCTCGGGGTCTAGTTCAACTGAGAAATATGAGCTGGATCGCCTTGAAAGCAACATAAGGAGTCCTCCAACCAAAACATATAACTCTCTAACTAAAAACACAAACACAGTTTAAGAAACTTTTTTTCGGTAAAAACAGTATATGAAACTTATTGGAATTACATGGGCATTTATTCAAGAGAGTTGGCTTTAAAGTTCATCTGTTTAGGGTATTGACTCTTACACTCTAGGAGTTTTTGACTGAGTCCTTGTAATTGCTTCGCAAATATCCCAAAGATAAACATTTTGGACTGGAAAAGTAAACTTTCGAGGAAAAAAATATCTTGCCAAGGAAGAAGTAAAATGAAAATTCTCTTCAAATCCCTCGGATCAGAATTGGAGGTTTGTGATTGGAGGTTTAACCGCTCATATACTTACCAATTGTCTTAAACAAGTTAATGATATAGCCTTTGGTCAAAAAAAAAAAAAAAAAACAAGTGAATGATTTTACAACCGTACGTCCTGTTTCTATAAAGAAGTACTATTTACTTATCTTCTTATATATATATTTTTTTACTTAAAAAAAGAAACAAATATATATATATATATTCTTCTCAACAAAAAAAAAATGTTTTATTGGCTACCGTAATTCACGTGTTTTTACAAGTACTCAAAATATTTTTTAAGATTTTTAAATGGCTGGAATAAATAAGCATTCCTTGTAAGAACCTAATTATAATATTCAAGAGAAGATCAACATCATAAATTCATATATTCATTCCTTTTTGTTGGGATTTTTATTTCTTACCCATGTAATAAGATTTTGTAGATTATATACATATCACCAAACCGAAAGTTAACTAAGATTGAGATCAGCTTCTATATTCTTTGACTTTTCCTTTTTGGCAACAACTGTGACCTTTTTCACACGTCTATTGATGAATTTAAATTTGTGTTGTTATCACACAACATGCGACTAGTATAACCAACTGACTACAACCTTCTACCCATTGAAACTGTATTAAAAGAAAGTACAACCATATTTCAATTGTTCTTCAAATTGGCGAATATTTTCAATTAAAAAAAAAAAAAAACTTAATTCTTACGTATATTTTTGGGTTAACAATTGACTCTTCTAAAAAGTAGTTCGGATTTTTCCAATGACACAAAAATTTATCCCCACGACAGTGTAACGAAAAAAAAAATGCAATACTATTAATATGAAACGAAACACATGCAAAAATAAAATTCCAATTCCAGTTGCGTTGTGAGAGGCAATCGCGATGCTTGGCGATCTCGGAGGCAACGTGGAAGAGGTATCAATTTGATTATAATTCGTTCCTGATTAATTTTACGGTGGAAGAGGTATCAATTTGATTATACTTTGTTCCTAATTAATGGCCCTTCAAATTGCAATAATTGTCCATTTGACACACTTGAAAATACTCAAGATTCTTTCTTTCCATACTAAGTAGACAACACAACCTAGGGATTAAGCTTGAGAAATGGTATAATAATTGCTAGAAGGGATGGATAGGTTCCCGGAGCTATCGTAACCACAAAAGCTTTAACGAATATTTGAAAATTCAAACGAAAATGTATCGATATTTGTTTGGAAATTTCTCTACGTAACGTGACGTGACGAATGGGCTAGAACTAAAATGTTTACGTGGTATTGATATTGACTTAGAAATCACAAAAAAACGTTTTCTTCACGGATCTATCATAGTCTTTCACTTCTCCACTATAAAAACACGAAGCGAATACACATCTATCTGCCTCTCACAGACAAAACATACACAGAAAAACAATGGCGAATCACGCTAAAACCACATCACGCAATGAACAGTTTGCCCTTTTCCTCACAACTCTCTTTTTCCTGATCCTAACCGTATCCAAATCAGTCAGCTCTCAGAACTGCGGCTGCGCCTCTGGCTTATGCTGCAGCCAACATGGTTACTGTGGTACGACCGATGATTACTGTGGCGTGGGATGCAAAGAAGGACCTTGCAGGAGCAACGGTGGCGGAAATAATGATCCTACTGTTTCACTTGAAGGAACCGTGACACCAGAGTTCTTTAACTCTATAATTGACCAAGCAACTGGTAGTGATTGCAAAGGTAAAGGATTCTACACTCACGACGCCTTCCTCGCTGCAGCTAACTCCTACCCTAGCTTTGGTTCTTCCATCTCCAAACGCGAAATCGCTGCCTTCTTCGCTCACGTCACCCACGAAACTCAATGTAAGTAGTTCTCTTAGATTATTAAAAACTCCATAACTTTTTGCTAATCTAACAAAAGAAGTAAATTAATATTCTCTCGAGTTTTCAACTTTCTCAGATATTATATGCTTACCAATATGATTTTGCTTTGTAATCATTTGATTATACCTTGTTGCAGTCATGTGCTACATTGAGGAAGTCGATGGACCAGCCAAGGCCGCAAGGGGAGAATATTGTGACACAAGCAAAACAGACTTCCCATGTGCACCAGGAAAGGGCTACTATGGTCGTGGTGCGATCCAGCTCTCTTGGAACTATAACTATGGTCCCTGTGGCAGAGACCTGAAGGAGGACTTGTTGGCTTCACCAGAGAAAGTTGCTCAAGACCAGGTTCTTGCCTTCAAGACCGCTTTCTGGTTCTGGACAACTAAAGCTCGCGGGGTATTTAACCAGGGCTTTGGCGCGACGATCAAAGCTGTAAATGGTATTGAGTGTAACGGAGGAGATTCTGCAAGCGTCAACAAGAGGATGGGATACTTCCGAGACTACTGTGTCAAGCTTGGAGTTGAACCTGGAGATAACCTCTCTTGTTAAGGTTTTCTCACTATCCATCCGAAACAACCAATGTTCGCAATATAATTAAAATAAGAGATCATCATATATAATAAGAGAATGTATCATATTAGTATACCAATGTTGTAATAATGTAACCGAAATGATTTCCACTTATGCACATCATTTTATAAGCCAAAGCCATTGTGAACTTATAATATTATACCAACACAGATTGGACAAATCTCTGTGTCTACATCTAAGTGCATGAACATTTCTATTGCCTCCTAGCTTCAATTCGACTTTCGGTTTACGCGCGGTCGAAGACAACCGAACGGAGAGAACGCAAATAGGAAAGTAATAAAATCAGAATAATCTTGGGGTGATTTTATAGGAGGTTTGACTCATAGTATCTCGACGTTAAAGTCTTGATCACTAAATCAGGAATAACATTAAATATTTATTTTGAATTCCCAAAAAAACGTTAAGTTTTCCGCTATGCGTGGGATCATAATACATAGGCGAAATCAAATATAAATAGATAGCATAGCATTTCACAAAACCTAGAGAAAACCAAACCTGACTTTATTCTTCCACAGTCGATAAACAAAAAAAACCACGAAGATGGCCACTACCATGAAATTCATTTCCTTTGCTTTGCTACTTGTACTTCTTTTCTCCATTGGTTAGTTTTTAGCCAAACCTTTCCTTCTTTTTTTATATTACAAACCCTTTGTAATGTTTTCAAGTTTTGATCAACTCGCGCGTGAATTAGCGTATATTAGAAAACATATAGTTATGTATTTATATTCTTATATGCCTCTAGATATATAGCTTTTAAAAAACTTTATGTTTTTTTATATTATAGATGTTGAAGGATCAGCCTCTACGGAAAGTGGTTCGTTGTGCTGCAATTCACATCCAAAATTCGGAGTATGCAATCCATCTCAAGATACAGACAGATGCAACAAATGGTGCTTGAATGGTTGTAATAATGGCAAAGGTGGTTATTGCAAGCCTCTTCCTCATGGAGCACAATGCCATTGTTTCTGCTAATCAAGGATCCGTTGAAGTTTGATAATTGCAACTATTGCAATATTTTCACGATTTGATTATTATCATTTACACTACCACACATAGTTGATATATGTTGGTTATGTCAACATATATAATTGAAACTATATTCATATTCATTCGTTGCCTTAGTTATAAAAAAGTTATAATATAATACAATTCCAATAAACCAATGCTTTTCTAATTAAACCGTCGGACGAAAAAAATGAGACGACGGCGTTTCGCTGAAGGTGGACTGGACCCCACTGTGGTAGCGAAAACTACTTGCCGTTTTAACTTTCGGATAATCTACTCTTTGACGTTCTTGTTTCCTATATATCCCTAGCGGAAGAAAAAGAAAAGAAAAAAAATTAAATAAATTATGGGCCAAATCAGCAAGAACCGAACGCACAAACAAAACGAGAGATTTCGTTATCCACACTAAAGCTCGTTAGCTTCTTCTGCCAAATTTTTGCAGATCGTCAGCTTTTCTCTGACCGCTAAACCCAAAAAGAAAAGAAAATGGCAGCTTCTTCACCGTTTCTCCTTCTACCATTAGGTAAGAGCCTGGAGCTACTGAATCTGTTCTCTTAGTTGTTCTTCTTAAAGAAGACGAGGTATTTCGTCTGTTCTTATCCACTTGGAATTATGGGCTCTCATTTGTTTAAATTCTTCTGCTAATTCTGTTTGCCTTGAGAAAAATCTCATCTTTCTTGGTCTAGATTGAACCGGTTTCATCCATGGCTTAACTGCAATAAGAATTGTAGAATCTTCACTCTTATGTTTAATTGACTCTTCGTTACTCGTCAATTGTCTACTTGTGTTGGGTTTTGGAGTTGTGAAATCCTGGCTGTAAATTTAGGTTCAGCAACTAGAAATGGTCTAACCATCAAGAATCCAAATACATCAAGATGTATAGCTACAAGAGTCATAGCTTCAGAGACAAGAGACAAAAGCTGTAAAATCAATAATCTTTCTAGCCGTAGGGACGCATTGCTACTGGTACTCGGCGTGTCAGGATTGTCAATGAACTCGCTTGCGGCTTATGCAGCCGGTTTGCCTCCAGAGGATAAACCGAGACTTTGTGAAGCCGAATGCGAGAAAGAGCTTGAAAATGTATGGTGAGATGAGATCACACACAACACATTTTGCATTCGTGACATTGTGGATTGATTTTGACTTTTGTACCACCAACCTTTGGATCGTCTGATGTTTTTGGTTAAAGGTTCCAATGGTAACCACAGAATCAGGGCTTCAGTATAAAGATATCAAAGTCGGTACAGGCCCGAGTCCCCCGGTTGGTTTTCAGGTAAAGGAAGTGAATCAATCCAATATATAAGTTGACAAAACCGTGTATACTTGTCCTCGTCACTGAGATATATGTAGAAACGTTTCAAATGTTTCAGGTTGCTGCTAATTATGTGGCTATGGTTCCTTCAGGGCAAATTTTCGACAGGTGATCTTTCTCAATCCATGCAAAAAACGAACAATTTGATCTTCTTTACTGATAAGTAACTTTTATCCTGAAATCATATTTAGCTGAATGAATCTATTATTGAATTGTCATATTCACTCATTTGCAGTTCTCTGGAGAAAGGTCTACCGTATCTGTTTCGCGTTGGGTCTGGCCAGGTTTTCATCAAGCTGCTTCTATATATCTACATTGGCTCATTGTGGCAACAAGGGGTAGTTTCTGATATATTTTTTTATCAGGTGATCAAGGGACTTGATGAAGGAATCTTGAGCATGAAAGCTGGTGGCAAACGCAGACTCTACATTCCAGGGCCTGTAAGTGCTCATCACAAGATTGTACTAATATCATTTGGTTAATGCAGCAGAGCTTCTAATTTCTTAAAGTTCTGTTTCTGTGATTGTTACATCATTAAGTTGGCGTTTCCAAAGGGTCTAACCTCAGCTCCAGGGAGGCCGAGAGTTGCACCAAACAGTCCAGTGGTGTTTGATGTGAGCTTAGAGTACATACCAGGGCTCGAGTCAGACGAAGAGTGAAACTCTTTTTTTTAAGTGCAAACTATTGTTTGCAATACACATCATTTGTGATGCTATCTCATTCTACTTTCATATTTCATTGTAAAAAAAAATTACCTCAGCTTTTCAGTTCCTTCACCATTAGGCCCCATCTTTCTTTTCACTTGCAAATTTTTACTCTTGTTGAAAGATGATGATTATGAATATATCAAATTATTAATCAAGCCGTTGCCCTTTGTATACAATTAGTTCCACTTCATTTTAGTGAATAATATCTCTTTTTATTGCAAAATCTGATTAACTTGGCTATTTTTTGTTGTTGAATATGATTCTCATCAAGAAATTGGCTTTGATTAGAGCAAATGGATCGATATTATCGAACGTATATGAAGTGATGATAGTTCTTGCTAGTGGTTATGGTTGACTAAGATCTAGAAAGTAGATATTTTTCTAGTCGGCTAAAAGTCTCTAGGCTAATCTAGCCATGAATGAATTAATGGGCAGGACTGCATTCTCTCTTTTCTTTTTTCTTTTTCTCTTTTTGGGCAAAATCAAGGTAACACTCATGAACAAATCGAGAACTCAGATTCAATACAACAATGATATTAAGTTTTATGAGCATCTAACTTATAATTAATAGGAAACTAGTTGATTAATCACTCATTTCTTATATATTACTCCAAAAATTCATAACATTTTCAGTGTCGAATTCTTAACACACGAGATCGTTGGTCATCATAAATAGGCATCTATATTTATTTGTAGCATTATTCATAGACGACTTGGGACATTACTACATTTATAAATTGATATGAAATTACATAACGATTAGGGAAATAGAGTGTTCTCTTGTTTGAAATAGTGGGTGGGGGCGGCTGCGTTTACCGATTTGAACTGCAACCAGCGGTTGATGCTCTCTAGTAATTTACTCGTCTTTGCAGTAGTCGCAGAAGCATTTGATAGGTTTGTTTTTGTGTTTCTTCACGCATCTCCCGCCTTTCGCACCTTTGAAACTCCGGCAGTTCTGACGACACAACGTTGGGAAGAATTTAGGGTTACAAAACGTGGGACCCACGTCTCCTCCGTACTCTTGCAGGCATTTGAACTTTTCGCCGTCTTCTATCTTCTCTGGCGACTCTGCATACCATAATAATCTTAATATGAGTTGTGAGAGTGGTAGATTCGTAATAATGTACTAACCATATGTACTTACCACCAAGAACAACGAGGAAGAAGATGAACAACACTAGGAAGATGTTATAAACAGACTTCATGTTCTCTTGTGTACTGCTTATTTTGCCACTTTTGGAGATGTATCGGCCATTGATATGTTTTATAGTGATGTCAAATGATTGGAATTCTTTTCACACACTCTTTTTTTTTTTGTGGTACAACAAATATTCGAGACACGAACGGGTCCATCTAGATTCTGACGTATCAGAAAAAGAAGAAGAAGAAGAGATTTGATGTATCAAGATTGCCTTACAGGTAAAGACATTTTTCACGTGATCTTTTTCAACCTCCATTATCTCTTTATTTGAACCGAAATTATATCGTTACTGAACTTGTTTAAACAACAGGCAAACCACATTTAAGAATCGTAATTAAGTGAAGAAGTGTCCTTTCATAGGATCAAATCTAAGTATAATATTATCAACGTTTATAGTAATCCTGATATCTCTCAAGCCTAAGTAAGTGTGATTCGTTCGAGGTTATTTTCATAGCTCAAGATTAATGGGCTACACTGAGGAATATATCTTATATTCACACTATAATTAAGTCTATACCCTATTTGGTAAACGTCATCATATTTAATTTATAGTTGTCCAAGATGATTATTATAAAACGAAAACCTTTACTTTAACAAATGGATCGCTATAAATTTATAATCCAAATGTATATGAAAGGATAAACGAAATTATAGTAGTCAACAGTTTATGATAATGTTGAGACATTATTACATGGATCACATACGTTTATTAATTCATATGGAAGTAGGAAACGCTTAGGGGAAAAGGGTATCTTATTTGATGCAATGAAGCTGGAAACCAGAGCTTGATACGTTCTTGTAAATCTATTCGTCTTTGCAATAGTCGCAGAAACATTTGATATGTTTGTGTTTCTTCACGCATAAACCGTTTTTTGCGCCTTTGACAAACCGGCAGTTCTGACGGCACAACGTTGGAAAGAACTTAGGGCTACATAACGTGCCCACTTTTCCGCCGTACTCCTCCAGGCATTTGAACTTTTTGCCGGCTTCTATCTTCTCCGGCGACCCTACATATTGTAATTAATCTTATATGAGTTGTAAAAGTGGCAGTTTCGTTATAATGTACTAATGTAGTAATTATATAGTCTATACTTACCAAGAACGACTAGGAAGAAAACGAATAATACAAGGAATATGGAAACAGACTTCATCTTTCTTTGCTTAATTATTTTGCCGCTTTTGGGATGTGTAATTAGCTAGCCACTGATTTTTATAGTGATCAAATGACTGTGTATACTAATAATACATTAATACTATACAAATATTCAGAGCCAAAAAGGAAAAAAAAACAAATATTTGAGGGTCCGTCTCAATTTGAGAAATTAAGACGTTTTTCACGTGCTTAAGTGTTGTGGTTAGGTGCCAAAGCTGTTTCTAAAAGGAGAAACGGTAATCGAAACAGAAGCAGAAACATTAAGATGGGCCATGTTGAATATGAGGAGATTTGGTTACAAGAAGATCATTTTTTGAGTCTTACTCTTTAAGAGCTTATTACGATCATCAATGAAAAGGAGGTATGGCCGGTTCTTAACCATGTGTTTAACGACTTTATAAAATATATGCAATATAATGAGCAGCCAAACTACATTTAAGCTCCTACCATATTAAGGTATGTACAAGATTTAAAAACAGTAATCACATAGCTCAGCAACCAAACACATTTCATTTTCCAAAATCAAAATACAGAACAAAGAAAATGTCCGTACAGTTCTTGAAGCAGAAGAACAAAAGTAAAAGTTTTTAGTCAGAGAGGCTGAGAAAAACCGAAGTGGCAACTCCAATTGCGTACACACCAATCGCCGCTCCGATCAGGTTTTGACCTGACCGAGTCACCGCGCCGAGTCCAGCGATTCCGGCGATTCCTAACGGAATCCTACTCGCTATCGCTTTCCTCGCGTTTCCCACAACGGCTTCAGCGAAAACCTCGACGGCCCATTCCTTGAAATCCTCCTTCCCGAGAATCTCCTCATCCTCCGTCGCCGTCGCGGCTCGAGAGATGGTGACTCGGAGAGCTGAGTCGACTTGGGATTGACTCGGCGGAGAAGGGACCCACCTGATGATTAAAGGGAACCGGAGAGAGGAAAGATTCCGGTGGATATGAGCGGCGGAGGAGAAGAGTTGGTAGGGACGAACTCCGGCGAAAGCATGCTGTGCGAGAGAAAGAGACTCTTCGTATGCTGAGTCACAAGCCGAGTCAAACTCGGGCGAGTTGGATAGAGTCGTCTTGACTCGCTTTGAACCCGATATCCCCATTTCTCTCTCTCCTCTGTTCTCGTGAGTTACGTACGGGATAATCTATTATAGCCTCTGCTGTTCACACGTCGTCAAAATTGACTTTTATTTTCAACCGTTGGATTATCCATATTTAATCGGACGGCAGTCAAACGCATAAACATAAGTACTGTATAACTTGGAACCGACGAAACAAAACTTGGAATAAATTACATATATACAGCTTGGACATGGTTTTCTTTACAGACATAAAAAACAAAACTATTCATATTATTTTTTTATTTTTGTTAAAGAAAACCTAAATACACGTTACTCATTTTAGGACTAATAATAATATCAAATTTCGACCAACAAATGACTTTAACATTTTTGTTATTTGAGATATATTTAATTTTTAAATTAATATAAAAATAGGTAATAATATTAATTGACAAATATATAAATTATATGATGTATGATCAATTTTTATTTTGTTATTCGCTGTTTTTCTTAAACCTCCTAAAATATATCTTGTTCACGCCGTGATAATCAGAATTAGGGAAACGAAGTCGCAGTTAATCCTCATTTAGTTAAAGGATGCCAAAGAAAATGATGATGAGTTGATAACACATACTTATCCTTACAGAAACAAAATCGTACGTGTCTGTTTTATATCACTTATTCATTAGTAATATTATTACTTGGACCATAATTGACCTTAATTTATTACACAAACCATCATGACACAATGTAAGCGTGTGCGTGTATTGACAAAGCGTTTAGCGATGGCTGATCAAGGCTTGTCGCTGCAGAAGTCGCATAAGCATATCAGACCACCAGCTCCCGAACGGCATCTTCCACCTTTAGCGCCCTTGTTGTCACGGCATCTCCGATAACAGAATGACGGAAATATCTTAGGCGCACAGAAGCTGAAACCCACGTTGCCGCCGTACTCTTTCAGGCATTTTCTATCCTGCGCATTTGTCGACTCCGACACTTCTGCTCAGTTCATATATATATGATTAAAAGAGATTTCAGTGTATATATAAATCATATGTATTACGAAACATGCATATATGCACGCAATCACCGATAGAGACATACTCTCTGGATCCTATATATATTGAAACATCTAAAAAAAAAAAACAAATATTATGTGAAAAATATGGAGTTGGTTAATTTACCAAAGATAACCAGAAAGAGGATGAAAAATATGGTCAAGGAAGAAACTGACTTCGTTGCCATGGCGATCTCTCTTTCTCTCTACAGTCTCTATTCCTCTTTGTACTCCCTAATCTCTTTATTTTTATTATTTATATATTTTTTTAAATGGACTCATGCTCACCCACTTGTGACTTGTGGTTCTATGCTATTTGTCTTTATCGTTGGGACAGAAAAATTCTCATGAAAAAACACGAGTCACATTAGCTGTCGACTTGGATTGAGTTTACGGAAAATCTATTAATCTGTTGTTCACGCGTCAACATTGAATTTCATTTCTGGCCACAACTTAAAACGCAGAAAACATAGAAAGTAAAAAACAAACACAGTAACTTATGTACACGCGGATGCTAAATACAGATTTTCTTTGGCTTGGACGAGTGGTTTGGCTTATGCACGATTGCAAAGTTCGTAGCGAAGCATGAAAGTCAATTACTTTCTTCGCCTCTACCAAATAGTATTCCAACCATGGTTAAACCAAGTGTGCCAAGGAAACTTCCGTTCTCTCTCTCTCTCTCTCTCTCTCTCTCTCTCTCTCTCTCTCTCTCTCTCTCTCTCTCTCTCTCTCTCTCTCTCTCTCTCTCTCTCTCTAGTTTTTATAACTATTTTATTATAAAATTTATTGTTCATACGTCACATTCAGAAATTCACCTTTGGCTGCTAGATTAGGTACAAAATAATATACGGTATCCATATACGCCAAATATTAATATTAAGTGATGCTTTGACTCAATATGGTATAAGTCTTTGTCTTGAAAATATATATATACCTCTGTTTTATCTATAATAATACAACAATAAAATTAATCATTTTTGTGAGGTGCAATTAACTATATCGGCTAAAACACCATTTAAAATAATACGGATAAATAGTAATTAAGCATATATATATATATATATATATGAACATGTACGTGTTTTACATGTGAATGCCAAGAAACAATAATTACGCAAACAAAAATCGCACTTCATTATTCTTGATTTCAAAGTATACCAAAAGTTTCTCTTAGTCAAAGTATACCAAAACAGATGAAATTAAACAAAGAAAGTCGAACTTTTCATTATTCTTTATTTCATATTACATTATTAGAGTATTACTTGGGGACCATTACAAACCATGACTAAAACTTGTGGAAGAACATAACAAAAGATACGGCGGCCATAATATATTAGCGACTGCTTAGACATTCAAATTGTGACTATGGGTTGATCGTTGCAGAAGTCGCATAAGCACTTAACATCAATGCCTTCACCCCAAAGGCATCTTCCACCTTTAGCCCCCTTGTTCTCACGACATCTTGTGTAACAAAACGTTGGAAATATCCGAGGCGCACAAAAGCCGAAACCAACATCACCACCGTATTCTTTCAAGCACTCGCTATATATCCTGCGCTTCTATCTCCGGCACCTCTGTTATCACATAAGAAAATAGTATCACATATCATGGATTTGCTTCGATCACAGAGAATTAGAAGAGAAGAGAATCGTTGGTTTGACCGACGTACGGAAAGCATGGGAAAACGGAATATACAAGCGTACTATGAGAATACTAACAAAATATGTCAAAAGAGACATACCAGAGATAACCAAAAAGAAGATGAAGAAGAAAACGAAGATGGAAACGGGTTTCATTGCCTTGGCCATTTTCTCTCTGTTGATCTCAACTTTGGGTTTTCTGATATGTGTTGACACTTGGTGTTGGGGCTATTTATCTTCACTTTAGGACCAAACCACCCTGCTTAGTCATACGAAACCGAACCATGTCAAAACTAAACCAATCGGGTCTTTAAGACCTTCTGACTTGGAATCTTTCCCACCATCCACATGTCTTAGATCTCAATAATATACGGAATGACGCCTCAAATATATCGACCCACATGAATTGTTAATATTTTCATCGATATTGATTCTCCATGTGCACATGACACCCAAATTTTTATTTATTCTCACGAGACAAGTGTAATGATCCTTTGTTCCCCAAAAATCGTTCAAGTCATTCTTCTTTTCTTTACCAAAAAAAATTAGTCATTCTTCTTTACTTCATATAAGCTACCAACCGACAACTTAATTAATATAGTTTCCACTTCGGTTCTTAATCCCTTGCTTTTTTTTTTTTTGTTACTTGTCAATATTCTTTAATATGAACAAATACGAACAGAGTCACATGAAACACAGTAATGTAACTTTGAAGTTTGAGGGTTTCTTCAAAGTTATTGACTTATCCTCATAACGTTGTGGCCGTAAAACGTTATCACTTATCCACATAACTACACAGAAAACAAAGTCGTATTTTTCATTATTTCTTTATTTCAATTATTCAATATTTTATGATTACTTGGACCATTCACACATTTATTGGAGTATTACACAAACCATGATTAAAACTTAGTGCAAGAACATAACGCGAAAGACCCAAACAAACGGTGGTTGCGATTGCGTTTGGGTTTGCAGCCATGGTGTATAATGTATAACATACGGCACCCCCTTTTCGGAGGCTCACAAACGGTGGTTACGTGGTCTAAAAATCAAACCAAGCAACTGTTTTCCAATGGTAGTGATTGTGGCTGTAGTGACCTATTTAAGAAGATGATAGAGAGATTTGGGGTCATTTGCATGTGTTCTAATTGGACAGTTTAGATAGCACTTTAATTAAAGTCAATGGATCACATCTTTAATGATTAGGTAGTACTGATTTCACATGATAATAAGTTACTATTTGTATATATTTATAGACGTGAAGAAGCATTTTTGAATTTTGCATGTTCAAGAGAAGGAGTCAAAGTTCTGCACGTACGTAGCAAAATTTTGGACGAGTAATTTGGCTTATGCAAAATTGCAAAGTACGTAGCGAAGCATAACAGTTAATTATTTTCTTTGCCTCTACCAAATAGTATACCAACCACGATTAAACCAAGTGTGCCAAGGAAACTTTCGTTCAATTATACATGCACTCTCTCTCTCTCTCTCTCTCTCGATTTTTTTTTTTGGTGCCACCTCTCTCTCTAGATTTTATAATTCATTTTTATAATAAAATTTATTGTTTATACGTCAGTACGTCACATTTAGAAATTCATCTTTAGCTGCTAAATAAGATTAGGTGGCAAGACAATCTACCGTATCCATATACGCCATATATTCATATTAAGTGATGCTTAATTTGACTTAATACACACATGTTAATTTCTTTTGTAATAATTAATATTTATTTTTGTGTAATGTAATATATACCTCTGTTTTATCTGTAATAACCAATACAACAATAAAATTACTCATTTTTGTAAGGTGCAGCTAACATTATTTCGGCTAAAACACTATTTAAAATAATACGGAGAAAATAGTAAGTATATATAAATATATATATATATATATATATATACATGTACGTGTTACATGTGAATGCCAAGAAACAATAATTACGCAAACAAAAGTCGCACGTTTTCATTATTCTTGATTTCAAAGTATACCAAAAGTTTCTCTTAGTCAAAGTATACCAAAACATATGAAATTAAACGAAGAAAGTCGTACTTTTCATTATTCTTGATTTCATATTACATTATTAGATTATTACTTGGAGACCATTAACATTCATTATCACACAAACCATGACTAAAACTTGTGGAAGAACATAACAAAATATTCAAACATACGGTGTTTACGGCCATAATATATTAGCGATTGCTTAGAAATTCAACTGTGATTAAGGTTGATCGTTGCAGAAGTCGCATAAGCACTTAACATTACCGCCTTCACCCCAAAGGCATCTTCCACCTTTAGCCCCCTTGTTCTCACGGCATCTTGTGTAACAAAACGTTGGAAATATCCGAGGCGCACAAAAGCCGAAACCAACATCACCACCGTATTCTTTCAAGCACTTGCTATCCTGCGCTTGTATCTCCGGCACCTCTGTTATCACATAAGAAAATAGAATCACATATCATGAATTTGCTACGATTACAGAGAATTAGCAAACGGAATATATATACAAGCGTACTATGAAATTACTAACAAAATATGTCAAGAGACATACCAGAGATAACCAAAAAGAAGATGAAGAAGAAAACGAAGATGGAAACGGGTTTTATTGCCTTGGCCATTTTCTCTCTGTTGATCTCAACTTTGGTTTTGCTGATATGTGTTGACACTTGGTGTTGGGGCTATTTATATTTATCTTTAGGACCAAACCACTTTGCTTAGTCATATAAAACCGAACCATGTCAAAACTAAAACGATCGGGTCTTAGACTTAACTAACTAATAAAATAATACTAGTTTGAAAATTTGACCTTTTGACTTCATAAATTTATCATAGATCTGGATAAAATCGATGTGATGAAACATTATGTGAACTTATACTGCGGTAACATAAAATAAAAACTTTCTGACATTCTGTGAAGCACACAAAAAAAAAAAAAAAAAGCTTACGTAAATATATAAAGTTATTAACAAATATGCAAAGAAACGCTGAGTAAGTTTACTTACCAGAGAAAACCAAGAAGAGGATGATGAGAACGCTAAAGATGGAAACGGATCTTACTGCAAAGAAACACTGAGTAGGTTTAGCTCTCGTTCATTGTTTACTGTGGAAAACATAAAGACTGATGATCATGGTAGCAGAGACCGCACAGATGAGGATGGCAGATCGTATCTTGGAGGCGAAACCATTGCATCAAGAAGATATAGAAGGTGAGGGAAAAACACTTTTTTTTTTTCTATTACAAATTTTCTCACTTTAGGAAATCCTAAGTTAGGACCTCTGGACTTGAAACTGTTTTGCTCGTAAAAAGTTACGTGACCCATGAGACATTGCCTCGGCTTGCTCATGAGTAAACAGGTGTTTCCAGAGTGTAACATTAGCAATTCGGACTAAACTTTTACTCTCTGATTTATATATAAAACGATAAACCATATACAGTATCCTGAGTCCACTATACCAAAATTGTCTTTCTACCTCATTTCTTTTCATAAGCAAAATATTATGGAGAAAATAAACAACATTCTTTCACAAACTGCTGAGGTGACCCGCCTTGTATATGTCTCACGACGACACAGTAGATGTCATAAACCCTGTTCATAGGTAACCATTGCTTGCAGCTGAACTACCTATCGGCGCAGGCAAATCACGAACGAGGAACTTGGCTGTGTGTTTTCCCATACCATATAGTATCTCCAAGCATTCTTGGAGATCAGAATCTGTAACCAGCATCACCCATTCTTCTTCATCATCTAAGTACTTCAGCTGAAACGACCCGTCTTGCAGTTTATACCGTTTTCCAACTTCTTTGTAGAGCTGAGGACATCCAACCGATGGCTCGAACTTGAACCGTATCGTGTCTTCTTTATAAGTGGCCTTTACAGTGAGTGTTGTTGATCCACTCTCACCGCTATTGCTTTTCTGGGTTCTCATTTGGTTCCAATCGTCCATGGAAGTCGATGAGCTTCCGAGCATAACTGCGCCTGAGCCATTTGATGAATTTGACATGCTGCAGGACATGGATCGGTTAGGTTCGATAATATTATCACTGCATCGGATTGTTGTTGTATCCATTCCATCTGCAATTGCCTGAGAGCTTGAGTTGCCATTGTTCTTTATTCCTTCACTTTCATTGAAGCCAGACTGTCCGGCCACCCAACCCCATTGCTGACCGTTAGCATTAGCCTCCATGAATGACCCTGCACAAACAGTAAGTGGCTTAAGATTCTAGTCCTCCATCAAAGGTTTATGGAGAAGAGATATTCTTACCATTCGTGAGAAAATCCTCTTCTAACTTATTTGCATTGTCGACGGATTTAGCTTTCAAGAGCTCAAAGGAGGTATCTTCAGCCTCCTGACCTCTGACATGAGCATTGTTACCATTAGAAGATAGACCTTTGTGGGTATCAGATTCTTTGATAAAAGGGCCAACTGTAATGAACTCGCCAGTTGCTGAGTCAAACTTCAGTCCTCCTTCTACACCCTGGACCGAGTCAAGCACCGTCTGTATTTTCTTTAATGACCTGTTCACTTTGTTAATCTTACGAGATGGCCACCTCGTGATCCCATGTTGTCTGCATATCCTTTTTAGTGTAGTGGGACAAACTGCAGTTCAAGCGTTAGAAAGTTTCTCTGGTAACAGAATGGATCAATGCGTGAGAAAATGTGGAAATCTTACCACCAAGGCTTTTTGCAGCATCCTTTAGACTCCCAGAAAAATGTTGTTGGAGAACGCTTAAGCTCACATTTTTCTCAGTTGTGCTTTTTTTCTTCTCTGGTGTTCTAGCTTTGCTCATATCCTATGAAAAAAGAAAGAAAACAAAAAAAAATCAGTGCTCAATCTAGTAAATCGCTTCACAATATCTACAGAATAACCAAATTGCATACATCACATACCTGCTCAAAAGTGCCTTGAGATCCTGTACTACCGTTTTCTTTATCGGAAGACATGTCCGAAAATATGCTTCTAGTAGAGTTAAGTTCGGAATCCAATACTATTGTCTGAAAGTTTCCTGAACATGTGGTCTGCGGGAAATTAGACATCTCGTCACTCCGAAAGCCAGCTCTAATCACTTCTTTTTTAGTTGCCCTCACATCTGAAACAGTTCTCAGAGTTCGACAAATTCTCTGCATAGTACCCGAAAGGCTGTCTAATAGAAGTTGTTGTTCCAAGCTTCCCTTCATATTTGGAGGCAAGAAGAGTTCAAGTATGTAATCATCTTCACCAGTGTAAATGCTCCTCAGTTTTATAGCAACAGCAGCATTCAGACCGTACTTTCGAGCATGCTGAACAAGAGGGTACTCACTGATGTCATATGCCTTCACATCAGAAGAAAAGAACGGCTGGTTTGATACGAAAGCTTTGCCAACAATTCCTTCCTTTTCTCTTAGACAATGCTCCAAACACGCGTGCACAAAGCCTTCCATCTCCATATCATTCACATAACAAGCTGTCTCCTCTATGCAAAGGACACAATTTTCCACTGAGTTTGGTCCACAAACGCTTACAGATGGATCCTTTCCCCCCTTGGCGTAACTACAAGGAATCCAGGCTAGAGCTAAAGGTAACTTGTGTGCATGACATACTGCTCGGAGAACATCTTGTATTTCAGCCAAGGCATCTCTTTGATTAATTGAAAGGTACTGGAAAGCAGAAATACCATTAGAATTAGGCATAAAATAACTGAAAAATAATGGGTTGTAGATATCTAAGTTTTTTTTTTATTTGGTTCAGATGTTACCTGAGGGCGAGGGATCGCTGATGTCCGTAAGTTTACAGCCTGAAGAAGAGAAAGAAAACATCAATCTCTTTGCCAATACTACTTCTATAACGATCATCTTTCAACATATTTGGTACAATACAAGGAATCAGTAACTGCATTTTGTACACCTCAGGTTGCAACCACAACAAATTGTCTCCAGAGCTGCCCTGGAAGCTTTCATTGACAAAGGCAGAGGACTCGGGCAGGTCTTAAGCCAACCAATATTCTCAGACCCTAAATCAAGCTTGCATAAAGTTTAAAAGTTGTTTTATGCACTTGCTGCTGCAGAAAACATCAAAATCCAGATTGTTTGAGACGAGATTGACATAAGTTCTCTATGTTCAATGGTTTTGCCTAGAATGTTTGGAAGAGCATAGAACTCAACCAGATGAAATCTACTCTTTTTGCTTTTTGACTTCGATTTCTAACAGGGTTATTGAGCGTGATAATTAAATAATTGCAGAAAACTTTAGAGAAAAAAATCATATCATATCTTTGTAAGACCTTCAATTATTACTATCAAAGGAAGTAGATCAGTGGAACAAAAAAGTTTGAGGAACCAGCTAATGAAATACATATTGGTGGCAGCACTAGTAAAGGCAAACATAGATATAAGTGAAGAGAAAAACAGAGACAGAGAGAGAGAAAGTGAATCAACCTGGAGAGCACGGCAAACAGAGTCCATCTCCATGTCAAAATTGGGTTTTTCCTTGAATGTGACGAGCTCCATGACAGCACAACAAGATGTCCCAGATGCTTCAAGGATAGGTATTGCAATAGAACCACGGACTTCATTATCTATTGCATGCTTCATACGCAGATACTCTTCCGTCTTATAATATATCACGTTTGATGTCCATTCGGGTACTCCCGAGATAAAGACTCGGCCAGGAAGACCCGGATAAGAACATTGGTTTGCTTCAGATGCAAACGTGAATTTCCTTGACACTTCACGGTACTGAGAAAGCCTAGGGTCAAGCAAATAGGCCTGATCACAAGTACTAAGCAGGTACTGGTCTCCTGTCTTAATAGGGGTCCAAACTTGTGCTAAAATGCCCTCTCCTGAACCTGAGGACTCTATAAACAAGCTCAATGCCTTAAGCATCTTCTCATCTAATGAGTGGCTCAAAGACCTAGGGATAGTACAGCTCAGTACGTTAGGAAAACCACTCTTCTGATTAGTAACCCTGCGCCGTTTACCACCTAACTCATCGCTATCTAATGAGAGATGAAACTGGGAGCTCAATTCCTGTAGTGACGACCTTTCTTCACCGTAGTAAGAGCTTTCCAAATCATGGAACGAACGACTAAGACCCGAAAAAGTGGCAGGCTTCGGCTCAGCAGCATGTAATAAAGTGACAGCTCCAAAGGGCATAGGCTGGGAGGTCGATAGACCATATTGTGCAAACAAGCTCTCAGACGCGGAAGGGCTATTACACCATGTGGCAAAAGAGTCGAAATTCATAAGATCCGAGGAGGAGGAGTTAAGCATGTCATCAGAGATCAAATTCCTAACACCAGAGCCAAAGCTTGAACCATCCGTTTGTTCTGTTGGAAAATCTGGATAACCAAACCACTTATCCCTGGAAGCAAATGGGTTTTCCATTTCGTTGATGATAGATTGCTCAGAAGCAACAACAACAACAGCTAGGGAATCTGATTCAAACTGCTAGAAGTATGACAAGGAGATGAATTTACAGAAGATCGCTTACAATCCATTCAAATCTTACATAAAAAATAGATCTTTGAGAATCCCCGAGTAGCAAATTTATTGAATCAAACCTCCACCAGTACCCTACAACAGAGAAGACGTCATGATATCAGTTCACGAACTGTTCGCAATAAGTGCCAAAAAAGATAAACAAGGTCTGAAATTGGCAACAAGAACCTCAAAACTTTTTTTAAAAAAGGGCAAAACTTTAAAGAAGACAAATATCACCGCAAAGGAAAAGGAAAAAAAAAGACAAAAGCCCAAAATTCCACAAATGCGAAATCAGCAGCACATTCCGCAGAAAAAAAATCTCACCGAAAGCTGCATAATTTAAACAAAATCCCAAGAAAGGCCAAAACTTACAAAATGCTATTCCAGAAAAATATCAGTCTAATGAACAAAAAGAGACCAAATTTCAAAGTTACAGACCTATAAACTCCAACTCTAAAGACGGCCAGCAAATTCAAAACAGAGACGACACTACACGAGTGGATATTGCGGCAAAACGCTTATACATAAAAAGAAGACAGTAAAAAGGAAACATTGAGCTTTAAGCTAAAAGTCGAAAGTTGGTTTTGTTTCCACTAGCGGATATTGCGGCAAAACGCTTACACAATAAGCTCGTGGAGGCGTATCAGCAGAGTGATATATGGCCGCTTCCATTAATTGGCTTTGCAACGAAGGAGAGAGGTTTCCTTTCCTCAGAAACGGAATCGAATCGGTCTTCTCTCTCTCTCGCTCAGAAAGAGATTTTGTGCGTGCGTAAGCAACAGAACGATGCGTTTTGATTCTAAACATCCACGTGTGACGACGTGAAAGGAACTGGGTAATGATATCTATTTTATAATTGTTACCTTATATGATATATCCCAAGTAGGATAATATTTTACAGACATGTAATCCTTGGACACTGTATCATCATATGTCAGTGTATGTTTTGCAGAACCGAAATTTTTAGCTTTTAGCAGACCAACCTTTCATGGTCTGAACCGAGACTATTATGTATTTTTATGATTTTAGTTCACAAATCTATCTATATGATTTTACCCAAAAAGAAAAAAATCTATCTATATGAAACATGTAAATAAGTCACATAAAAATTACAACCATTATTGCCGTAAAAACAAATAATCATAATTACAACCATCATTTTAACAAATATAAGGATAAAAAAAAACAATCACATATTCAAAAAAAAGTTTATTTTGTATTTCTTCCCTTTTCTCTTTGCAGAACTATTATCAACGTACGTGTATTTTTATTAAGTAAAATGTTCAGAGTTCTTTCTTATACAGTGGGAAAAAAATGTAACGATTTTAGCTCGAATATATAATTATTTTGGGGAAAAGTTAGGTAGATTAAACGTATTAGAATGATTGGTTTCAAACCTTAAAAAATTATGGTAAGATGCCAATAATCTACTAATCATCAAATGGCACCCCTATATATATACTCACATCGATTTCAATGCAGAAAACTGTTCACAATACAAGAAAACCGACATGTAAACTTCCCAATAATAATTATCATTTCTTAATCTTATTCTACTGTCTGTATTAGTTTTAGACTTTTAGGAGATCAACAAAAGATGCATGGGACCCACTTATATATCATTTGCTTGGCCCTTTATACCATTATTGCACGTTAATATCTGCGTCCATGTATATTTTACTGTTCTGCTGATGTCATGGATGATCCACTTCCTCCGCTCTTACATATTCTCCCATATATAAAATGAGATTACGAAAGCTTGATATTATACGGTGAAGATTGGCCGTCCGATTAGATTCTCCTTTCGAGATTCGAATTCTTTTTCAAGATTCTTTAAGCGTGGAATCTTCAACAATATACAGCTATATATATCTTGCAGGACTTTGCCTGTCTCCCTATTTGCTGCACTTATTAATCTGTTAAGTTCTTTTCAATGTATATATATGACGTATGATTATAAAATATCTGTAACTTTTCTTTTGGCAGCCTACTTCTTTAAAGATGTTTTTGTATAATAGTGTAAGATACTAAGATGACATATTCAAAAACTGCACTAGACGACCAGAAACATCTAATATAAACGAATCTGAATATATATATATATATATATATATATATCTAGTTATTTTTAATCCACTAGGATTCACAAAGTAAGTTTTAGATTACACAACTCTAGTTTTAATAAATACATTTAATAATTTGTACCACTTCCCTTTAATAATAGTCCTATATGTCTCAGGTACGTTAACCGAAGGTGATAACCTTTATTTTGTGAAATCAAAATACTTTCAAACTTTAAGGAACTTATTCGCATGTAACTAAATATATGACTTGAAAATCAATATATATGATATATATATATATATATGAATCGTTTAATCTAACATAGATTTGTGTAATTGATAAGGCCACTATGAAGCCACAAGTCATTACCAATAACTATTTATGGTGGAAGGATAAAACTGTTTTCTAACCTTTCAAAGTTTGCATGACTATTGAAAAGCTAAAAGTGCATGCAATTATTGTATATGTTGTCTTAGGTTATTAGAGCCAGATTCGCTCTTTGTCGATGACAAGTACGAAAATAGTTTTTTCGGGATCAGTCATATTGTCACGAGATCCAAACTTAATGTAAGTTTGTATCGTTTTTTTTTTTCTTTCTTTTTTTTTGTTTTGTTAAAATTATATAGTGTGCGAGAGAACGAATGAAAACATGGAAAAAACATGGATGCTAGCTCGATTTTTGTATCCACGGCCACGGTGATTATTTTTCGATAACATATTATTCTGGTTTCCGAATAGTGATCTCAATAAGAAAATAAAAATTGTCACAGTAATTCAACAAAAATCAAACAGATTGTCGCAATGATGAGCTGAACATGTTTTTTACTTGGCAAATGATCTGGAGTCTGTGCACTGGAAACTATACTTTCTCGCATTTGTACAAACTCAAAACGAAAGCCAATAAGAAAAAGAGAGTTTCAGAAAGTTGGGGCTGAGGCCTGAGGGTGTTGCATGATTTGCGAATCAATGCTCAAGAGGTTTTGGAACGAGCTGAAAAACCCACTAACCCTTTAATAGAGTCAAAACAATTCTGTTTAAATATTAAATGTTATTTTTTTATATATATATATATTGGTCAACCAATATATAGAGTGTTTAGGTCGTAAAGGAGAAGATTCAAATGTTACTGTTTTTGCAAGTAATGTCAAAGTTGTGTGACGTTGGTCGCTTTCTATCATTAAAATAACGATGAGCCAACCTCCTCTCTCTGAAATTTCAGCATAACAGATTAATCTTAACTACTCTGTGATTATAACCTAATCAGGCCTCTCTCACTATAAGTTTCTATTATTCCCTATTTTGTGTAATTAAGTCTTCTAATCAAAACCCACACAAAACATGTCTTCTGGTAAAAGTTTTTATTTTGTAATGAAATATATCTAATTATCCAGGCCTAATAAGGATCCAAAAGGCCCAATTTGTATTTTCTGAAAGTGCTGAAAGAAAAACTCCAACGGAATTGCAAACCTTACGATCAATTTTTGTTTTGGTGTGATCATCTTTGCTTTATGTTTTAATCACTATCTAAGGACATTGCAAATACACAGATCTTGTTCGTCGTAAACATGGACATTAAAATGGTATGATATCAAATTAATTGTATGAATTATGACACCGACTTTTTGATCGGTCCTATAAGGCTATAAGCCAATAACAATTATTTTGACTATTCATTCAATTTATTTTTGAGATTAGTGTTGCTTATTAAATTGATTAAAGAACTTTCAGCCTAAATAGAGGAAGAATAAAAAAAATTCAGAAACTCGGGGAAAAAAAAAAAAGAAAACACTTCTCATCAGAAAAGGAGAGAGAGAGAGAGAGAGAGAGAGGAGAGAAGAACAAAAAAAAAAAGGAAAAAACTTTCCGTCGATGAAAAAATGGAGATCGGAGAAGAATATCCTCCATAACCATTGACCCTTCAGGTTCTTCTCTCATCTTTCTGCATCGATGTAAATGATTTAACATGTGTATCTGAGCGCGAAATGTATGTAATGAATGCTTAAGGAAAGTTTCTGTTTTTCTGTTTTAATAGCGTATATTGTGAATGAAAGGTAATTCAATCTGACCGGGTCGAGTGATCAGATCGATGGTTTTATTCCTCTTGTTTCTCTGTCTCATGTCTGAAATCTCAATCATGTTATGTGGATTCGATATGACGCAAGTTTCTTAATTTTCGAATCTCTATATCTATTGATTTCTGAAATGTGAATTTGGTCACAGTAAGATCTGTGATTCCCGTAATGGTGAATTCTGATCTGGAACCATTAGTTACTGACTGATTTCGGTTATTGGTTAATAATACTACAGGATCCTGATCGATGTAGTTTCTTTTTATTTTGTGGGATATTGCGGATGATGTATAATATAAAAGTGATGACATGTTGCAGAAGAGTTGGGAAGTGAGGACTGATGTGTTCTGGTGGAGAAGGAAAACAATGGAGTTGTGGAAAAGCGGGTGTAGTGAGTTTGCAGAAAGTTGGATCTTTGGTTCGAGATTTGAGCGAGCCTTGTCTTTCACAGTCACCGATTCAGGTTGTTATCACTGTAAGATCTCCTCTTTTACCCCTTTTAACAATGTACTTTCGAGGCCTACGTTTTTTTCTTGTGTGGTTATTGTATCATTGTATGACTAAAAGTCGTTTTTTTTTGTAATGCAAAGATCGGCAAAATGCTTAAGCCAGAGAAGTGGCAGGCGTCTTTTGATAGTGACGGAAGAGTTTCTGGTTTTCAAAAGGCGCTCAAATTAATTATTTTAGGGGTATGTTTTCTTCTTTGCAGAAGAATTTGTAACAGTTTTGAATGTTTCGTCCAATACAGTGCTCTAATGTAATGGTGTTGTTCCTTATCAGGGGATCGATCCGTCTATTAGAGCTGAAGTTTGGGAATTTCTCCTTGGCTGTTATGCATTGAGCAGCACCTCTGAACACCGTAAGCAACTCAGGGTAGCTCGAAGGTTAGACTGTTTGATTGAGTTAATGTTGTACCACAGCTTAGAGTGCTAAAAGCGAGTTAATGAGAGAGTTCTGAAAGCGAGTTAATTTTTATTAAAAACCTAAGTGTCTTGAATTTTCACGCAGGAAGCGGTACAATGAATTGCTCAAGGAATGTCAGACGATGCATTCAAGCGTGGGAACTGGTTCACTTGCCTATGTTGTGGGGTCTAAAGTCATGGATATGCGGAAATCTTATAGAGATGAGGCGGTAAAGGTTGCTACTACAGATGAAAACAGAGAAGAAGCTTGTATAGATGATACTGATAATGCTAATACTGAAAATCATCACAGTGATTGGAGTAATAATGGTACTGAGACATCTCATGTACACAGACGGGGAAGTTCTAGTGAGTCTGTTGATTTAGTAAGCGGGAGAGAAAGTCCGGAGAGCGTAGTATACAACACATCCTCTTTTGTATCTGCTTCTAGTCCATATGGCTTCGCTTCCCCTGACGGTTATTTTGACTTTCCCTCGCTACCGGTTACAGATTTGTTTGGGAGGAATAGTTTAGATAAGATAGAGGTTTCTACGCCAGACGAGGATGCTTCGTTGCAAAGTGATGAGGGATTGCACACTTTTCGAGTTGACAAGAATGCTGATTTAGTTAGAGAACAACATAGGGCCACTTCAGAGATCGAAGTGATGCATCCGGATTCTGTGGGACAATCGTCTTATTCTGGTCGCAATGCAGAGATAGGTGATAGCTTGAAAATATCTGATGTCCCTGAAATGACATCAGTAAAGGAGACTCCCTCTCGTGTTGGGAATGTCACAGAAGACCGAGTGTCTGAATGGCTTTGGACATTGCATCGAATAGGTATGACTTCTTCCTTGTCTCTTTTGTTGCGAGAACTTGCAGAAATCTTTCTTTTTCTGTCCCGGCTTGCATCTTTTCATAGTTAACTTTGTCCTCTTCTCAGTTGTTGATGTGGTAAGGACGGATAGCCACCTCGAGTTCTACGAGGATCCAGGAAATCTAGGAAGAATGTCGGATATCCTTGCGGTGTATGCTTGGGTTGATCCTGGAACTGGTTATTGCCAAGGTTCCATATATCTCTTAAAAGTTTGATTTTTTAGATATGTTAGATTGAAACTTGAGGAGGTTTTACTGGTTTAGGATACTAACTATCTGGTTGCAAATCTGTTGATAGGAATGAGTGATTTAGTCTCTCCTTTCGTGGTTCTTTTTGAAGATAATGCCGATGCCTTTTGGTGCTTTGAAATGCTCATTAGAAGAACGGTAGATCCAATGCTTAATATTTCATTTGTTTTAGATTCTGGCCATAATTTGAATAATGCATTACCCTTTTGCTATGTGTCTATTTGTGTAGCGTGCGAATTTCCAGATGGAGGGACCAACTGGGGTGATGGATCAATTGCAATCACTGTGGCACATATTGCAACTCACAGATAAAGATATATTTTCTCACCTATCACGTATTGGTGCCGAAAGTCTTCATTTTGCCTTCCGTATGCTTTTAGTTCTGTTCCGGCGGGAATTGTCTTTTAATGAAGCTCTCAGAATGTGGGAGGTTTGTAGTTCTTCTATCTGCTTCATATACCGAGACTTTTGTTTAGTCTCTGTTTCTTTAGCTACATTGCTTAAACCATGCAATTTGTCAATGGGTTTTGTCTTTGATGTAGATGATGTGGGCAGCTGATTATGATGAATCTTTTGCTGAAACTTTGGAGAATGATTGCTTGGAGCCTTTGGTGATTCAGCTTCCACGAAAATCTGAAGCTGAAGCTGAGGTGAGTGAAGAAATGATTTATGTTGGAAATACAAAGAGGGAGCCAACTACTTCAAAGAGCGGGCCGATCTCAAAGAGCAGCGGTTTGTTGTCTAGGAGCGGTTTACTGCCAAAGAGTGGTCCGTTGCCGAAAACTACTGGTCCACTCTCTGATGAGAATGGTATAAAGTCGGCATCTTCCTCCACATATCACTTCTGTGGTTTGACAAGAAGTCTTTGGTCAAGGAACGATAGAACAACACATGTCCCTTGTGTGATTTCATCAATCAAAAAAGGGGATGATGCCCTTCCTGTCTTTTGTGTGGCGGCTATTTTAATCATGAATCGACATAAGATCATGAAAGAAACTCGCTCGATTGATGACATGATACAGGTAGAAAGTTTTCTCATTTGTATTTAGTTTGTTCTCTATACATGCTCAATTGATGAGATGCTGATTCAGAAGTTTTTTTTGTGCAGATCTTCAATGATAAGGTTCTTGTATTTCGCGTGAGAAGATGCATTCGCACAGCCATGAAACTTCGTAGGAAATACATGTACAAGGTTAGATATGGCTCAACAAAGAAAGCTTTTGGTGCTGGATTAATTCTATTATCGCCATTTAACTGTTGAACGCTTGTTAGAGTCAGGTAATCAAGACGAAGAGCCACACTCAATCTCAGAATCATAACGAGGTTCAAATCCAGCACCAAACTCATATGGAGAGCCAGAAGCTGGAAGAGGTTCAAAGCCATGGTGAGAACCGGAGCCAAACTCCAAGTTCAAATCATAGTCCTGCCGCTCCGTATGGTGACTAGTCAGATTTCAGTTTTAACAGTATAATAAGATTAAAAAAGAAAAACAAAAAGAAGAAGAAGAAGCTTACACAAGTAGGTCATCTTTGAGGAAAGGGTTCTGTTTGAAGATTCGTGCTTTGATCTGTGGCTACGACATGTTTGACAATTTTTTCAAGGTACCCATTTTTTTTTTTCATCTGAAGAACATACATGTTCGTGCATAATGAAATCTTGGAAATTTGCAAAATACCAGAAAGTGTGTGTGCAAACTATCTTTCACATAAAGTATGTTAAATCTTAATCGCTTCTAAAGCCTTTGCGATTTTGTTGTTTATAAAAATTAAAATTATCTTCTTGAAGCTAGCAGGAAGGAACTAGCAAGAGATTGAGAAGCTTGTGGCATTCAAACGCTTGGTACTACGCAAATTGAGAGTCTAAGACTCATAACCAAAGAGGTTAGACAAAATAAAATCTTATTTTCTATTTCTTGCGGGAACAATTTTGATTGCATACCCTTTATACTTATGTGAATATCAGAAAAATGTCTACTTTTTAGAAACACGAAAAGAATCAATCTCCTTTAGCTATAGAGAAGCCTTTTTCACGGCGATTACAATGTAATAAATGACAACAACAAAATTTATATCTGAAACATAAACTTTCTCAATCTTTTTTCCTTTGTTTGTTGTTTATACCCTCGGTTTATTCTTCTTGCAATAACAGAGACCAGTGAGAGAATGTTTCTTTTGTGTTTAGTTTCTACGCCTGCAATCTCTTCTTATCTCACCTTCGTTTTTAGTTAACACATTTATGGCTCCCATTTTGCTCATCGAAAGTGCAAATGATTTCCGAAAATCCTCAAAACTCTCTGAGAACTCCTCAGAGATCTGTTTGGTGTCATCATTGTAAAGTAGTTGTTGATCTACTTCAAGTACAGATTTTTGTGACAGAACCCGTGAGTAGAATGAGCTTGAGAAGCTGTGCTCTGATCCTGAGTCCGGGTTTAGGTACACGAGCGGATCAGTCTGGCCTTTCCTCGTTCTTGGTGGACATTGCTTTGCCATTTCGGTCAAGAAAGACTTGTTTATGGTCGAGCTTGGTTTACCGGTCTTGTTGAAATTGTGGAGACGGTCAACGACGTAGCTGCAATGTGTTTTCCCCATTGAATGTGATCCTGGTTAAGGAGGTGCAGCTCAATTTAACTGATTCAAACTAAACCAAAACAACCTTCAAATAAACCGATTTGGTTTCCTTTTTTCTATAAACAAACAAACCGTAACTGAATTCAAACCGAAAAGTTCCATTGAACTGACACCGAGCCTATACTTAACCGAACCGAGTGAGAATTTTGTTCATTTCTCATTGATTTCGATAATTCATAAACCGGAGATTTAAAACCCAATCCGAAACACCGTATGGGTAATCCTAAATCCTGATTAACCGGTTTTAAAGATGTCAGGAAGAAAAAGGTGACTGACCTAGAAGTGTAGCCATGTCAAGAACACTCAAGCCTCTGGATTTGAAGTAAGCCATGGCTGTATCCCATGAGATGGACGGTGATGGTAGGTCCACGGTTTGCTTATCTGAAGTCAAGCCATCTCTCCTGCCCGTGAACACAGGATAAGATGGTGCACCCGCCTGTAGGAAATCATTAATTTTCCCGTATATCGAAGCTGGTCAGTATCTACAGATGATGATCCATATAATATGGATAAAGAGAAAGAGAGATTGAAAAGGAAGGAGATATATAAACCTTATGAACAGCATCCCGAGTTGCAAGATTAAGAATGTCGGCGCAAGAGACAACACCGGGACATCTTTGTTCCAAGACTATTTTGATTTTGTCTATGATCACGAATGCTCCAAGTCCTCTGTTTTGTGGCGCCATTCTCTCCGAGTTTGGACCTTCTAGAAGAATCGATGCATCGCATCCCTAACATTATAGAGTCACATACATACAATGTTCGGTGACTAATTCTTAAAATAACACCACTCCAGTTAATAGCTTGGTTTCGCTTTAGTTCTAAGGTTTTACAAAAAGTGAATTAAAAATACTCTTTAGGTTTCTTACTAGTTCGGTTAGGTGCAGTTTTAGTTTGGTTCGATTTAGATTTGTTTCTGTTTTAGGTAAAAAAAAGGTAGTAATTACTGTATATTATACTTATGATTAAAACTTTAAAATATAATTTTTTCGATGAATACATCTATTATTAATTTATACATAACAAACAAAATATGCAACGTTAATAAATCATGGTTTTACTTAAGTAGTTATGCTGAAATTGGTTTCTCTTTTTTTTGGATAAAGATGAAATCGGTTTCTCTATATGTTAAAAATACAAAATCAGTTTCGGTTTCAGTAATAAAGATTAAAATAAGAAGACCAGTACCGTTAAGAAGATAAAATAAAATAAGACCAATCCAGGTTAGGTTTGTAACATTTCGTTTTAGTTTGGTTTCATTTGTTCGATTACATTAATTTGTCTCCGTGCGTCAGTGCGTGGATCAGTCCCGCGCAAATTTTCTAATTAAATCCTCTTAATACATATATAGGTATATATTCATATGATAGATAAATGATAAGATTAGTTAGACAAGAATAAGAAAAAACTTACTGTGACAAAGCAATCGGAGTAGAGGAGACGGAGGAGCTTAGGAGCAATGCTTTTATCACTCTTGTAGAACTTCTCAACTTGGTGCCTCACAAAATTCTCGGCATTCTCGCAAGTGTTGTAAACTTTGTAGTAATGCCATGTCAGTTTCTGCATCGACGGCCCCATAACGGCGGCTTCTGCCGTCTCCGGGCAGAGGCTGATGGCTCCAACCATCACCGCTGCGAGGAAGAAGTGAATCATAACCATCTCAATGTATAGGTGTTGAGTGTTGAATGTATGGAGAAGACAAAGAGATGTGTTGTTGAAAACTAGTGAAGTTTAATATAAGGAACTTAATATAGATTGTGAAGGTGCTTAAGGGTTTATTTGTCCACATGGCATATCTGACTAGGATTAAGTGGTTTTAGATTTAGTTAAAAAAAAAAAAGTTTTGCAAGCATAATAATCGGATCTTTGTTGAGTTTGATTAGGTACCGTGCAAAGTAAGTTGCCAGCCCGTAATGTCGTCTTGGCATTTAATTGTTGTGTCTACTTTTTGAATTTTTTGTTTGAGAAAATTAAAGATGTTTTAGTAAAAAAACAAATGTGAGAAATAATTTGCATGAAAATAAACACCAATGATTTTTAAAAATGGATTATTTCATAAATATGATGATTTGATACATGGAAATGTCTTTTAATGATATTTTATGAAAACGATGAAATAGTAAATGGTATAAAAATCTTCTGGAATGTAATTATGTAAATGGAAGAAAATTCAGATAGGCTGGGTTTAAACTTTAATTTTGGTTTTAAGAGTTGATGGTTTGTCTATGAAGATGTTATGTCATATGTGATATGCATGTAATTAGAAGCAAAGGTCAAAACAGAAACTAAGAAGACTTTAGTTAACACGATTGGAATTTTGGATTTCAAAGTATATTTTTTTTGAAAATTAATCTTTTGTTTTCGTTGAAGACTTGAAAATTTGATATTATACGTGTGACATCTTAAAATATTAATTAACTCTTGGAATAGGTCTATAGTTTACGCTATGATCATCAGATAGTGAAGCAACGTGTAATCATGTGATCTTAACTCGGATTCTGCGCGTTGTTTGATTTCCCATGCACAATTATGAGATCCCATTTCTACATATCTTGTTCTTGTTTACTGTAATATTTATTGTGTGTAAGACTGTTTCAATGTTTATATATAGATGGGATGATTTAAATTTAATTGTCCACAAAAGACTAATCATGTAGCAAAGCGACTACGGATTTCGCAATTAGTTCGTACGATGATTTGATTGATGGCGATATCAAATAATTAGCAATGATTATATGGTGATTGATTAAATAAAGAGTATCCGTTGTCATATCACATTAGCGAAAGAATTTTTCGTCTCAAACTATACCCTTTTACCACAATATATATGGTCCGATAATATTAACGAATAAAGACGTACAAGATGACAGTCTTATATATTTTGATTCAAATTCATCATCTGTATTATATTCTGTAGTTTATGGTTTTGATTATACAATCCATTTTGTAAATGCACAGATTTACCATTAGACCAAGGTGATGCTGTGATGCATATATTTAGCTACCGTAGAATTGACGTGATAGCTTTCTGGATGTGAAATATTTGATATTTGCTTTAACTTAATTGAAACATTAACAATAATATATATGGCTTATTTTTCTATAAATACTTAACTATGAGTCTATGACTTATTATTGCCGAAAGTTTATTATAAAAGCGGGCCAACAAGATTGAAACACAATTGTCAAAAGACTCAAAACCTTCTTAAGTAACCTCAATTTGCCATTTACATGTTTATGATGAAAGCAGGCCGAAAAATAATTTATTTAGGGGATTCAGAAATGTTAAAAAAGGAATTCATTTACATGTTTTAGTCTCTGTCCTTAAAAAAAAGGCTATATACATCGTAAGATAAGATATATAATTTCTTTTAAAAATTTGTTACTTACATATAGTAAGATCTAAAATCTTTTTTTTTTGTGTGTGTTCAAATAAGATCTATAATCTAGAATTGTTAATTATTTATAAAAGAAAGAAAAGAAATGCGAAAAAACATTAAGACATGAGAGGATGTCATATTGATATGAATTAAAACAGCTGGAAACTCCCGATTAATAATAATTAGTACACTGTATCTGTATCTGACTGTACGTTTTATACATGAACGGTTGGTCTTTTCCATTTTCTTTGTGTGGTCCGAAGTCTATTTTAAGTTTTCCTCTCTTACCGATTATATATATTGAGGATAATTTTAACTAAAGAAAATTCCATAAAAAACTCATTAACTTATTTTCAATAAGTTAATAAAATCTTCAACTTTATGATTATCCAGAAAAAAACTTCAAGTATTTTTTCTGCCCAAAAAAATTCTCATATGTTAACCGTGTGACCATTTTAAAATGGTTGGGTTACAAAAGTTAACGGTACTAATAACGGTGTTTAGATTTTCGGATTATCTGTTAACTATCTAACCATAGTTAAAACACGATTTAGTTCATAAAATCCCCAAATGCTCTAAACCCTAATTTCGTATCCCATTTACGTTCTCTCTCTCTCCGATTTTCCATCGATTTGTAGTGATGAATCAAAGCCAAAGCTCCGGTTCAGCATCGAACGCAATAATCGGAGGATTCATGGGCGAATTGAAGTGTCACTGTGGGAAGGAGTCGGTGGTTAAGAAGGCTTGGACGGATGATAATCTGGGGAGAAGATTCTATGGTTGTGGAGATCGAAATTGGAAGTCCTGCAACTTCTTCAGATGGTTTGATGTTGAGAAGCCTCATGGATGGCAGAAGAAAGCATTGGTGGAAGCTCGAGACACGATTCAGGACCAATTACAAGAGCTGAAAAAGCTGAGAGCTTTGGTCGGAGAAGATGGTGAAGTAATGGCTTCTGCCGGCGAGCAGATAGAGTCACGAGCCGATAATGCGGAGAATTCGGAGGTATGGATCGAACTGACTAACGAGAACAAGGCTCTGAAGGAAGAACTTGCATTGAGCGTGGAAAAGGAGAAACTTTGTCGACAATTTGTGGTCATTTCGTGGGTGGGATTTGTGTGTGTGACTGCAATAATTTGCAATGCTTTCAAGTAAATTATAATGATTTTAAGTTTGGTTGAAGTTTGGTTGTAATGTAGTTCGGTTGAAGTTTGGATATTGGTCTTTGTAATGCTTTGTTTGGTTTAGATATTTGGTAATGGTTGTAGTGTTTTGTTGGTGAAAAATGATGGTGATCCAAACCTATTTAGTTGCTTAATGTTCTCTATTCTCTCAGATAACAAATAAACATCATCAATAGCAAATGAAAACACAATGATAAAGCTTGAACACAAAAATACCAAAACCAAACAAAACAAATGCCATAACACCAAACACCATACCCAAGTATTCTTCCCTGAACTGTTTAGACACCAAAAACAATAACAAGCAAAAGAAAAGCAACTACTTGTGTGCACTTGGTCCTTGTGATGAGCTTCCACCGACCTCTCTTGCATTTTGACCAAAGCATTCAAATACCCGATTTGTATAAGGGCACATGAAGACACCTACACCTCTTGGGACTGTCACCTTCTTACGGGCTTGTCCTCTTCCAGGAGGTCGACCACGGCGGCCACGTCCACGGCTAGGAGGTGCTGTAGAAGAAGATGAAGCTGCTGTTGCTGGTGCATGTGCAGTTGACGGAGCCACGGTGGAGGACTGTGATTGAGGTGTAGATAGTGGAACAGAAGGCTGTGACTGAGGTGTAGTAGTGGTGCGTTTTTTCCTTGGCCGAGGATTAGATACACCATCCTATGACAAAATATGAGATTGTCAAAACAAAACAAGAACATCTTACAAAATGTATTATAGAGGGAAGAGATACACTTACATCTATCTTCCGAGGTCTTCCACGCTTGCGAGTTGGTCCTTGAACCACAAAAGTCGGATTTTTGCAACCCAGCTTGTTATGTCCCATCTGCTTGCAGTTTCCACATGTCATTCTTCTGCCATGTCTGGTGACTCGGTTTGGCTTGGAAGGAGACTCATGTGCAGCTTTGATCCTCTTTTTCTTAGGTCTTCCCGACATCTTCCTGAAACCGGGAACTCCAATTGGTTCCTTGTGAGTCTTCTCCCAATATAGCTCTCCATTAACAGGCTTTATGTTTTCTTGGTAGGTTGCTATCCAAACTTCAGTCTTGTAGTAGTTATCAACATGGCTGCAATACAAGGGTTGTGAAAATAAAACCTGATCAACTCAAAGCAAAAACATAAACACGGTAAAAGGATAAAATGGTTGTAACACATACTTTTCTGGTTGTTGGTGGTTTTCGTTGATAACTCTTATGGCGTGTGAACATGGAATGCCAGTCAGGTCCCAATCTCTGCAAACACAATGACGAAGACGAAGAGATACCTCATAGCTGCAACCATACAACAAAACCTCAAACAAATTGTCTGAACTAGTAAGTACAGAACAATCCTTGCTATCCTCTCTATTTGCTTCTAATATATCGCTGATCTTGTGTGGAAAAGCCATTATGCATGCCTTAGCTTTCTTAAACCTGCGTGCAATACGAGTCATAGCCTGCCTCCTTATTGTCTCCAGCATATTTATCAGAGGCAGCTCTCTTGCTCCTTTGATTGTCCTATTGAAGCTTTCGGACAAGCTGTTGCACACATTAGCAGACCTTGCATTTCCACTGAAGAAAGCAAGACACCAAGTCTTCGGTTCCTTAGCTAGCAAATCGGCATGTGCTGCTGGATCGTGTGCTTTGAGCTCATCCATGCGCATTTGGTATTCTCCCACTGATTTGCTGTATGCCACATTCTAGAAAAAGGCTTGTAATCCACATCACTGTACTTCTTTTTCCAGTTCCCATAGACATGCTTTGCACAATTTCTATGCTCAGCATTCGGAAGAACAGTAGCAAGAGCTACTTGAAGACCCTGCAAAACAGATATATCATTCGTTAGACTTTAAAAACACATATAGCATTCATTAGACCCAATAGAAACACATATACCTTCTGTTTGTCAGATATGAATGTATATCCATCTCCCACACCCAAGTCTAAATCGACTTGCAACCTTTTGATAAACCATTCCCAAGACTCCTTGTTCTCGCCTCTAACAATTGCCCAAGCAATAGGATAAATCCTATTTTCAGCATCCCTACCAACAGCAGCTAATATCTCTCCTTTCAACTCCCATTTTAAGAAGGCCCCATCCAAGCCTATCAAAGGTCTACAGTTTTGCTTCCAACTTCTTCTCAACGGTTCAAAACAGACATAAAAGCTATCAAAAATCTGCTTTCCATCCTTTGTAACTGTAACAATCTCCGTACTAACTCCCTCGTTAGACCTAATCAGCTCAGCTTCATAATCCCATAACTTAGCGAATTGTTGTTTCTGGGTATCCAGAACCATATCCAATGCGATTCGCCTTGCTTTTCTGCATTTGAATATTGAAACTGAGACCTTGTACCTATGCATTAGCTCGTCTTTAATGTCAGAACTCCTTATTTCTGGTCGTCTTCTTGCTTTTTCTTTGAAAAGCTTCGCAATAGTGCCTTGTTTCAGCATCCTTACTCTTCCCGTGGGCAAATGACAGTGTTTATCTTCGAAGACTTTGACCATCCACTTCCGTATAGGCTTCTCCATCGCACAATATATTCTCCAATTGCATTTCTTGTGTGTGCATATGGCTGCATACCTTTGAGAGTTCCACTTATTCAACTTCAAATCATATTGGGTTTTTAAAACATACCTCAGAAGTTGATCCTTGAACTCTTCACCATTGTTAAAGGTTTGCATCAGCCATAAGTATGGGGGCTGATTATAATCAGCCTTACTCTTTCCTTTAAACCTCCTTCCACGATCATCTGTGTTCTTCCAATTAGCCCATTCTTCATCAGTGTCTTCCGGAGAATCTGGGTATTCACCTTCTCGTCTTTGTTTCTCACCTTCAATATCACTATCCACAGCTTCGTCATCTGCATTATTCTGAGTAGGTGCACCACGAACTACAGGAGGAGGCTCATTTTCGAGTGCAGCAAACATATTGTCAAACCGTGGGTCAGGAGCTCCTTCGCCTAAGATCTGATTCTCATCTTCAGATGGTACTCCACTCGCTTCTTCTCTAAATTCCACTATTGCACCTTCTTCACGTCTCTGTTCTTCTTCCTTTTCTTCCTCCCTGTTTTCAACATCACTTTCATCACTTTCAGACTCTCTCTCCTCGTCATCGCTACTGCTATTGTTCTCATCATCGCCATTCTCACCATCGTCATCCTCCTCTCTATCCTCTTCGTCATTCTCTTCCTCTATATCCTCTTCATCACTTTCATCATTTTCAGTAGCATCAATAGGACCACCAGTAGTGCTCGGACTCAACATCATCCCGCGATGGAATCCCACTATGTCCAATGTAGATGTGAACCTCTCCACATTCATTTGCTTCCGCCGCCATCTTCATAAGCTCCCGATCCTTATCCTCGTACACACATCTTAGCTTCGACATATCCTCAGAAGGTAGTCTGTACCATAATTTCACCACATCGCTCGTAGCTTCAGGATTTGAACTGAAGTCTTCGAAAATGTAGAAAGTGAGCAAATCGGGATCTACCACCATATCAGGTTCTGTCAATCCTCCTTTATAGCACCACTGGTCTCCTTCCTTTGACATTGACCCTCCATAGTGGATGTGGAGCTTGAGCTTGTCGTCGCCGTTACTACACGAACACAGACATTTCTATTAGAAAATTACGACGCAAAATTTAAACGACATTAACAAAATGGGATCGATAAACAACTCGATTTAGTGCAGATTATACCTCATGTCTCTGGATTTTCCTTCAATTCAGTCTCACGATCTCGATTTAGGGTTCATATGTAAATTTGGGGATTTTAGGGTTTGCTTCTAATTTGAGAATTTTTGTTCGATTTGGGGAATTATGTTCGATTTGGGGTTTTTGATCGAATACTCGGGTTTACTTTAATCGGGTTTAAGAATCGGGTTTGGGTTGTTTAACTAATGCTAAACCACGAATAGTGACCATAGTTAGTTTCCTAACGTCGCTCTAATTTCCGTTTACTGTAGTTTCGTATACGATGTAAACTTAGTATACGGTTAACATATGAGGATTTTTTGTGGGCAGAAAAAATACTTGAAGTTTTTTTCTGAGTAGTCATAAAGTTGAGGATTTTATTAGTTTATCGAAATTAAGTTAATGATTTTTTTTGGAATTTTCCCTTCTAACTAATGATCGTACTTCGAATTCGAATAGCTGCAGTGAACGAATTAGTACAAAATGAACAAAATTGGCGGAAAAAATAAAGAAATGGTATATATGATGTAGAACATCCGAACTCCGAAGTAACGAATAATTAAAAAATACAATAACAAACAAAGTTCAAATATTTTTTCTTGCATAATTTCGAAATTATTCGATTATACTTTAGGCTTACTTCACACTGATTACATTAAATGCTAAAAGTTTTGTATAGCTCGTCGTGTATGCTTCGAATGCACGTGATTTTCTTCTCCGTCGTATACATATAGTCACAACAAGGGATCACCATCCAAAACTTCAAGATTATTAAATGCCGTTGTTTGCAATCGTAGAGAAAATATATTTATCACATAGACAACAGAACTATAATTACCACACAAAAGGAGAAAGATGAATCATCAAGAAAAGTTTTTTTTTTTTTTTCAACAACAATTAAGAACGTCCATATAGCAATTTTTAATTTCTTCTTCAGTGCACATTAATTATCACCATAATCACGTAAAAATGGGAATTTACACTACGTCAAATTGTTTTATGACCATCTCACACAATCATAGAGCAAACACTATTATCACATGCAAAGAGATATATGAATATAAAATAAAGAAATGTTCATTGTGAGTTGTGACCCTCTTTTGTTATTTATATAGCCGGAATATATCCTGGATAAAAATCTGAATTAATCTTCTAGACTTGTTAAAAAATGATATTCTTGCTGTTTAAATCGTTTGTAATGAATAAAAGTAAATCACTAAGTCCATATATTTACATTTAGCAATTTATGAGGTTTTTTCTTCTGGCTTTGCAAATTTGAGTGGAATTCGAGATAGATTTTTTTTTCTTTTCGATGATGTACATATACATGTTATCTCATTGTATACTCATATATGAACACATACATGATACATACATGTCCATATATCAACTGTGTTTATGGTCTACGATAATAGTGCACGATGATTGTGTAACCTTTGAATAATTTTTGTTTATTAAAAGATTTATAGTTGTCTTTGCAATCATGGAGAATTAACTAATTAACAAATAAAAGGTCAAGCTGTGTCTATACATACACATATCTGAAATTTTCCGTCTCTGTTAATTTCTAAATTATTTAATTGTTAAATAATGAATAGAAAGGAGAAAACAAAAGGAATTCTCTATTATCCAATTAAAAGAGTCGCTTTCAACATTTCGCTCTGCATTATTTTGTTTTTTTCAACCTTAATACATTATCTATATAGATTAATTGCATAATTTCCAAAATTAGGGTTTTCGTTTTTATCCTATGATTTTGTGAACATATGCTTCTTTAGTTTTTCTTGTTTAGGGGTTTGTGGTGTGTGTTTGATGGCTAATCATTCATGGACAAACGAAGAGAGAAATCACCATAATGCCTACTTCGCCAACTCAAAGTCACCGTCACAGAGCTTAGAGATGAAACACCACACCGGAATCGCCATGGATTGGAGCTCTGAAGAACAAGCAATTCTCGAAGATGGCCTTGTTAGGTTAGTGAAATATATATGTAGATCAAAAGTCGCTTTGGATCTCTCTAAGATTCAATACTAGGTTTCTCAATTTCTTGATTTATTGTTTGCTATGATATTTTTCTTGCATGAAGATATTCATCGGAACCGAGTATTTCACGTTACGCGAAAATCGCGTCAAAGCTTCAGAACAAAACCGTTAGAGATGTTGCTATGCGTTGCAGATGGATATACGTAACGTCTTCTCCTTTTCCTTCTTCCGCAAGTTTTCTTCTTTCTCTGTTTCTTAAATGCGCACTAATCATTAGTTTGTTTATGTCGCAGAAGAAGGAAAATAACAAGAGAAGAAAAGAAGACCATAACGGATTGGGAAGAGTCAGAGTTGACAATAAGGTTTGAAATCTCGCTCTGTTCTGTTTCTATCTCCAGCTATTTTTTTTTGTTTTCTAAAATCTAAATCTCGCTCTGTTCTTTTACATGGTTGATTTCTTCAGGAAATTATTGATATGGTGGTGGCTTCAAACTCTGTTCCACATCTGTTTGCACTATCCCCTCTTCTTGGAGAAGAAGATGGTAAGTATATATCTCTTTGATCCAACGATTCTTAAGGATGCTCCAAGATTGTAGACAATGAGATTTTAAACAGATATGGAAATATCAATAAAGATTCATTAAATGATATGCAGGGATCACCAATGAGCTTCTTACACAGAATGAGCAATTCTTCAATCAAATTTCTGCAAATCTCACAAATCCCACATCATCAAGGGTAAAGTATAGGTCCCTTTCAAATCACCACTTTAGGTCTCTTGAGGGAAAAGCTAATTTACTTCTTCTTCCTTTTTTGTTCCTAACAGTTGACAGAAAACTTGACACTCCTCTACAAAAGCCGCGAAAACATCCGTAAACTTCTCAAATGGTATGTGAAATTTCATCAATTCTGCACAATGGCTTGTTTATATTGTTCTCGTTGTTGTTAAGTGTAGTATATCATTACTTAGTTTTTCTTGTAAGCAAAACGATTTTCCCAAACAACATATATCATAGTTTTTTTTGTTTTGATCTTACAGTTTGAATGAGAATGTGCCGGAGCCAATGAAGCATATGCCACCATTGCCGGAGCAATTGAACGATGAGCTTGCTACAATCCTTCCTCCCTCAGATCTACCACAGCTACAATGAATGACTCTTTGTGTGTTTCTTCCTCTACAGTTCAATTTCTTCAGGACCTTCTTCTAATTGTTTCAGTTGACTTTTGGGTTCTTAGGTTTTATTGTTTCTCTTAACAGAAGCCCTAGCTTAGAGCACAAGTTTGTAATTAGTTGATGTTAATGATGTATCAGATCAAGAACATTTGAACAAAAAAAAAAAATTCAGTTTTATTCTTGTTCATATATCTATATATATAAAAAGAAAAACTTTACAGTCAGCACTAGTTCACAATTGAGGGCTTGTTTGGAATCTTCGAGAAAAAGTATTGAACTTTGTCCCGATTGAGTGAAAATGGATAGACTGAGAGATTGCATAGAGGAAATGGTGAAATTCACACTCGACCACCGTACAGATTTCGATTTGGGGCTGACCGGTGATTTCTGCTCCGGCCTTCTTTCCGGCGACCCACTTCTTCCCGCCGGTGATTGAATCGAACCGCCTTTCTAACCTTTGCTAAACCCGATTTGTTTCCCGTTGGCATCCCTTTGAATCATTCTGCGTTTTCTCGATGCAGATACTGTAGAAGAAGCATTTGCAGGTGTTCCTGATTATCCCTTGTACAAGCCTCTAGCTTTAAGCCTGATGAAATCAGTTGCTTCTGGTTGTTTCTGTGGAACCTTTGAGAAGATTCCGTTGGTGAAAGAGGTAACCTGGTTGAAGGAGAGAGAGGATGAGTGGAGCAAGCTGATTGCCCAAAAGGGATCCGAGTTAGTCAATGTGAGTCATGGTATAGATTATACTTCCAAAAAAAGCATAATTTCTCGTCGATTAACTCGGTTCAGTGTTGAATTTGAAGATCCGTACCTGGGATTACTTAGGAATCTGTGAATTTGATTGATGATGTTGGGATAATCAGAGTCATCAAATGCTTACATTTTTGTTTGCTTTTGACTATTCCCTTTGAAATATTCTAACAGGCCGTTAAGGATATAGCTTGTGAGCTTCACGTTCAAGAGCCCTTATTCTCCCTCATGAAAGGTTCAATTTTCCTTTTTAGGTGCCTGAAATTTTGTGTGGTTTAACCGCTCGTCAATGTCAATATCAATATCTAGTGTGCCAAGAGTTACTGTTGATCAGCTTTTCCGTTGCTTAATTTGAATGGATACATTAGATGGCATCAAAACAGTTGACGCAAGGTGTTTCGAAGCTGGGTATGATAGGTAAGGGAAGTGAAAAATTTCTGAGCATGATCAACTTTTGTATCTCTTCGTGTTCACAAATTTTGTTTGATTTCTTCAGACTTGAACAAAGAAGCTCAACTGTTATGATAAATAAATGTCTCATATTTGAAGTTCTGGTGAGATATATTATTGCTGGCATCATTTTCTTTAGCTTTCGTGTTTCTGCAAACAATTTCTTTTGTGTGTGTGATAGTATCTCTTTGATGTTGATAAATAGGAAGTTCACCAGTTTTCTTCCTTTTACGAGCTGTTGAAAGCCGAGAGTCCAGAGAAAGTGTTTCCTGGCATTAAAACATTGGAACAAGGTAGGCTTTTTCTTTATCTCGATCCCTAGCCAATAGCTTCAGTGTAAGTTCTGTTACAAAGATTTTACAGTCTTAGGTATGCAAATGTTTAGGAAGTTGTATGATGTTGATCAAGAGGAGGTAAACGGTGTTGTAGCAATCCATCTTACTAAATCAGTTTCTCAGCCTTCTGTAGCTTTGGCTCACATACTCTCTGTGAGTTGTAGTTTTTCCATGTCTTCTTCTGTGATTTATGATTCATATTCCCTTTTCCTATGTTTCTCCCAAAAACTAGTTTTCAAAATTGCAGGGTTTGAGTTACACCGGGGTGCAAAGCCTTCTGGGTCTTTCTCACACTATTGGGTCCATTTCTCATGCTCTGCCTCCTCCGAGATCGATTCTACTCTCTTCATTCATGCTTCCATATAGACCAAAGGTACCACAAAAACCAAGATATAGTTCGACTATATTAACTCAACGTGTATACATGAAAGTGAATTCTTTTGGCAATAACGAAGCTTTGTGGCATACAATTTAGAATCTTAGAGTGTTTAGTTTTTCTGCTTTGCTGAGATAAAAGGTTGTAGATTGAGCCATGGAGCTAGAGCATTAGCCAAACATGTTGATCGAAGTAGCGACAGATTTTGGGGTGTTCTTCATGGAACTGGTAAGTAACTTGGCCAGCTTTCAAATAACTAGTTCCTAGACACTTTAGCAAACAATCCAATTTTGCGCAAGATACTAATGCATTTCCATATCCGAATATCGCTCTTCATTTCCTTTTTTTCAGATTCAGATAAGAATAGCCTTGCGATGGAGATTATCAACCGCTTTGTTGGCCACTGTTGCTGGATGAACATACATATCGTTCCACCACACGGTGAAGTGTTCGAGATAAGAGTAGCTCAAGGCTATGGAGCACGTTGGTCTCAAGATGGAACCAAAGTATGTAATATAGCTTTGAAACTAGAAGATATGTTTCAGCCATTATTTTATGTTTGATCAACTTGAATGACTGTTTCTGGTTGTTTTTTGCAGTTCATTGGATTTCTTGAGCCTTACACTGAGGACGGTCACTCCATGGACTGGAAGCATTAGACCACACCTGAACATTTCTTTTGTAGCTGAATTTTTTTCTTTAAAAACTCTAAATGCTTCTTTTCTTGTGGCAAACACGAAATCATTGATTTTCTATAGTAATAGATTTTGCGGTTGACTATGAAACCGAAACAGACCGTATACAACAAGTATTAAGAACTTGGGTATGAAAATAGTAAAAACAAAAATATAGGGACCTAAATGTAAGCTTCCAGATACATATATGATTGGGCTGAAGCCCAATGTGAAAATTGTTTGATACATGGGCTAAGGGTAAATCTGGAATTTCGAATATACGAGTCTAGGGCTTCTTCTTGAACCAAAAGTTTTAACATTTAAGAGTGTCTTTTATATCTTGACGACGGTTTTGTTCTTGCTCTCTGTGTGGAAGGCGGCTAGCTAAAACAACTGATCCGACAATGGTACTTTTTCTCTGTCTTTTGATTTCGTTTCATCTGTGTAGGATTCCGCTAGCTAGCTATTGATCTTTATAACTTGGTTGTAGTAGCTCGTTTTATCGTCCACTATCTAAAAGCCTTTTTGCAGTCTTCTTAGTTTACAAACGTTGCCACTTTGTCTTGATTATTTCTCAATATGAATGATGAGTTTTGCTTTATTTCTTGTTACTTTCCTTAAGATTCAGTAAGACATAGGATTCAGAGAAATTGATCTGTTATTGTTGTTTTGATGTATTGGCCTGGATTCTGATGTTCATTATTATCCTGCGGATTTGACTACAATCAATTTGAATTGCTGAAATTTGTATTAAAAATTTGCTCTTTTGAAATTGTGAAGTTTTGGATATTGATGATCTGATTGAATGTGCAGCCTAAGCAAATCCACGAGATCAAGGACTTCCTTCTCACAGCTAGAAGGAAAGATGCTCGATCAGTGAAGATCAAGAGGAGCAAAGACATTGTGAAATTCAAGGTCAGATGCTCAAGGTACCTGTACACGCTCTGCGTCTTTGACCAAGAGAAAGCCGACAAGCTTAAGCAGTCTCTTCCTCCAGGTTACAATCTTAACTCTGCTCTTCTATTGCTCTACGCTACACTGATTGTCTCACTTTCAAACATTTGAGGTACCCTAAAGAATAGTAAATTTTGGCAATTTTGGTTTGTTAATCTTTTTTTTTGTTTTATGAAAACAATTGTCTGGTTTTTATGATAAGTGTATTAGATTGTTCGTACGGAACACAAATTGTCGTTATTGCATTCTCTTGAATTTTAAACATCGCATTATATGTTGTGTTGTTTCTGAATTCTGATTGGTGGACTCTGTTGCACGTTTTCAGGTTTGAGTGTGCAAGACCTTTGAAGATGAAGCCATGTTTCCGTGATGATGATGAATCCATGCTTCTTCTTTATAAGTTTTCTTAGGAGAAAATGTTTTGTGTCGTTACATTATGTTTCAGACGTTTACATTATGAGTGTGCTTTTGGATTTATTCAGTTTAAAAAAAATCAAATACGGTCTCGCTCTGGATTAAATTTTCTTAGGGTTCTAAAAATTGTCTTTGACGGTCGCCTTGACCACAAAAAGCGGCGGACGGTGATTAGCTGTGCCGATTTTTAGCCTTGTCGCTTTAAAATTCTCAAATTTTGATCATGAAGAAAAGATCAATAGTCATTTTGTTCTGTTAATAAATTGAATGTAATTGTCGTTGGAAAAGCTACCAAGGGAGAATACATAGCGTTAAGAAATAATATTCTAATTTTGACAATTTCTTTTTCTTAAAATCTCTTTTTTTTTAGCCTCTCAAGTGCTCTGAATTTCTACTAATCGCCCACTAGAATTGTAACAGTAATTCTGAAAAATATGTTTAAATCACTTTTTAGATCTTTAAACTCCTTCAAATCTTTTTCAGACTTAAATGTATGCAAACATATCTAAATCACTCATCCAATATATCCTTAGATTTTTGTTTAAGAGTTACTCTTATTAGATGTTCAAAAAAGAAAAAAGTTATTCTTATTCAACGCCTAGATCATTTAAAGAAGCGTTTAACATTTTTTAAGACTTTAAAAAAAAAAAAAAATTATTATCCCACACGTTACTATAAATCATAATCATGTAATCAAAATCTATCCGCTGAAGTACAATTTCTTGGAAAAATGCATGAAATGACAAATTTTCAATATTTTTGAAAATGTTAGGAACGATTGCTCTTTTTAAGATTTTGGGGTCGAGATAAAAAAAAAAAAAGGAACAATCTATCCGTTGGAGCTTGGGCTTTTTAGGATACTTGTTAGCCTTTAGACCAATTTGTACGATTTATATGGCCAATTATTTAGAGTCAACTCCAAAATCTAAACTAATTAATTGTCACCTAAAATTTATTAGTCAGAAAAACTAGATAGAAGATAATCTGAAATTCAAAGTAACACTAATAATAATGTATGTTTGGAAGTGACGTATTTATGGATTTGCTTATAATTTTACGATGTAAAAAAATTCTTCAACTTTGTGAAAAAACATGACTGACAAATCATGTTTAAAACAAATAAAACAGAAGTTTAAATAGACCAATATTAATATTAATAATAATGACTACATGTTAATCCACTTATTTACTTCTGAAAAGAGTATATAATGACACTGTCTGCAGAATACTTACATCAGAAACCCACATAGGTGTAATGGGTAAGATGTGTTCTCTTATTTTTTCGTTTAACATCTTATCAATTCATAACATATCTCTTTATTATGGTGATCACCAATCACAAAAAACGGTGATTACCAAAAGAACGAGCAATCAATGCTTATTAAAAAGTTTTCTATTATTATTTTTGTTGAATAAAAATATGTATTGTTATGAAAATGATGCAAGAAAAATCACTTCAAAAAAGAAAAATAAAAAATAATAGCTTGGTTGACAATTTGAATACTATGGTGTGAAGTTTTAGCCATATGAATTTTCAAACAAAATCTATTAAATGTGAACAACTAAGCCAATCATATAGTTATTTGAAAAATGAGTATGAACTTTGAAGTGAGGTCCTAATCATATACAAGTGGCTCATTTTCAATTAGGTAGGCACAACTCTTACTGGATTACTTTGGTGTTGTTGACAGACATAATCGTTTTACACTTTTACTCAATATACATATATCAGAATGAATTTAATATTATCAACTAATGTATAAACTTTTAAACCTTATGATATTTGATGGATTATAATAAATATTTTTAAATCAATACCTATAACTTTTTATTCGACACTATATGTAAGATTGACATAAATTTTGATTTTTTATGGGGGGGGGGGAGTTTAAATTTGAGAGAGTATAGCTGTATAAGACATTATCACATGTAAAAATTAAAACCCAAGAAGCTCAAAACTTTCATAAACTAGTTGATGTCTCTCGGAAAAATAGAAAAAAAGAAACTCAGATATGAATTCATAAAAGTATAACTGTATAAGAAGACATTATCCCATGTAAAAAAACTCAGATCTGAATTCATTAAAAGTATAACTGTATAAGAAGACATTATCACATGTAAAACCCCAAATGATATGTACTAGTAATACCATCTAACGAAATCAGCAAATTATTGAATATTGAGCAAAGGGAATTTTTGTGTGTTTCTTTCTTTTTGTTCGGCGTCGACCCAAAAGGAAATGTTTTTTCCTGGCTTCCAAAAGGGAATCTAATCTAGCAAAATACTAGTAAAGAAACAACAAATTAAATGGTGAAACCGTTAAAGTAATAAAAATCTTTATAACATATACAGTACTAGTGATAATTTATTACCCTTTTCAATAGACTTTAATTCTGAAAACCAAAAAAAATAAAATAAAGGTACTTGCTCGTGGTCGAATAATTATAACCAGTTTATGAATAATGTGATGGCACGAAACACAATTTATTGGGGGATTTAGTAGTTGAGCTAATATAAATTTGACTTAAAAGCGAAAACAAAAAATTAAATAAAAAAGAGTAAAAGCTGTCTCTAGCTCTGACGTCTTTCCTGTCGAAGTCGCAGACTCGTCATCACAGCTCAGGCAAAATTCTAGCTTCCTACGCGCAAAATCTCAAGAGGCTTTGAAGGTAATCAATAATCTCTCTCGTTTCTTTCTGAGGAATCTATCGGAGAGAGGTAGAGAAAGGGGGGAGAAGGGGGCGAGAGAGATAGAGGATGCCAATGATCTCCAAAGCTTCATCTACCACCAATTCATCGATTCCTTCTTGTTCTAGGGTTTATCTCTCTCTCCCTTCTTTTTGCTGTTATCTTTGATTCAGATGACTTTTGAAAGCAAAATAGAAAAATTCCGATCCGGTTTTATGATGGTTGGTATGAGATTCAGCCTTTTGAGCTACTATTCAGATAATATCTGTGATTTCGTTGCTGGAAATTCTTAGTACAGATTTTCTCTTTATTGATCTTTGTTTTGTTTGCTAGGAATTATTTCTGCCGATTCCTTGATTGGGTTAGTATTGTTTGTATTGAACTGAACGGCCTTAGTAGAGCCGATTCATTTGTATTCTTTGAGGCTACTACGCTTGGTTTTACCCTAAAGATCACTTACTCTGCTTGATTAGTCATCTAATATCATTTGTATTGACTGGTTAGGTGAAACTTTCGATTGAATCATCTAGGCATCTATTGTCTGCTTTTTGACAAATGTGTTTAGTCTTTTTTGGCAGCCTTATTATTGTTTCAGATTATAATTTTTTATCTAACCATGAAACAGATTGGAGGTCAGCTTTGTGTGTGGCCGGGTTTGAGACAACTTTGCCTCAGAAAAAGCTTAATATACGGAGTAATGTGGTTATTATCCATGCCACTGAAAACATTGCGTGGGGCTAGAAAAACCCTCAAAATCACCCACTTTTGTAGCATCTCCAACATGCCATCTTCATTAAAAATCGAACTGGTTAGTATGCTTGCCTTATCACTTTGCAGTTTTTCATTACCTCTTCTTCTGGCTTTGTTTATCTTCTGCATCTTTTGCCACTGCAAGTACTTCTCTTTATTTTGTTTTCATTCGCTTGCTTTTCATCCTGAAGGTGAGCTTACTTATACCCGAAGACATGAAATACGATCTATTTGTCTTTTCTTATTTGTCGGGGATGTTTCAGGTGCCATGCAGTAGGGAGAACTATGCTTATCTTTTGCACGACGAAGACACCGGCACGGTTGGAGTCGTTGATCCTTCTGAGGCTGCACCTGTTATTGATGCATTGAGCAGGAAAAATTGGAATTTAACTTACATATTGAATACTCATCATCATGAGGATCACATAGGGGGGAATGCTGAACTGAAAGAAAGGTATGGCGCAAAGGTATGGGGATACTATCTTCGGTTTGAACTTGTTATAACTTTGTTTTTTGTTTTCTTTCTACTCTTTGCGCAATTTATAGCTATGAAACATAGAGCTCTACGGTATAATGGTTTGGTTTTAAGATGTTGTTAAGTGTTAGTCTAACCAGAGAAATGGCTTTCTGGCCTTTCTGGTTATAGATTGAAGTTGACTTCTACCTTAATAGTCTGGCTACTTGTTTTGCAACTTTGTTTGGTTGTTTTTTTTTTTTTTTTTTGGTTGATTCGGCGATATATTCTAAAGTGTTTTATGGGACTTATGTGTGCAACAGGTGATTGGATCAGCTGTGGATAAGGATCGGATTCCTGGAATTGACATACTTCTGAAGGATAGTGATAAGTGGATGTTTGCTGGCCATGAAGTTCGGGTAATTGACACTCCTGGCCACACACAAGGTTTGTAGCTGCCATATACCTTTACAGTTAAAACTATGAGCATATCTCTACAGTCAAATATTGTCAACCGTAGAAACGTTTGGTGGACCGCGTCTTAGTAACTTATTTGTTATTCTCGAAACACACTGTGTAACTGCTCTCCTTTTTCATCCTTTCAAGTGTAGAATAACTAGTTAATTCATGAATACTTGGTGCCATGTTTTAGTCTCTTAACTGTTCTTATTCTCAAGCAGGCCATATTAGCTTCTATTTTCCCGGGTCAGCCGCAATATTCACAGGAGACCTGATATATAGCTTATCTTGTGGTACCCTCTCAGAAGGTACCCCCGAGCAGGTAACATTACTTGTAGAAATGTGCTAAGTGATTTGCGGTATTAGAAATCGTGTTCCTCAATAACTTAAATAATAAAAATGTTATTGGACTTTTTGAAGAGATCAATTGGGAGTAGAGTACTCTGATAACCTAACTTCATCGTTTCTTTTCACAGAAGAAAATTTATTCCGCTCTGACCTCTTTTAACGATAATACCCCCTTTTTTTTGCCTCTCTCAGATGCTTTCATCACTCCAAAAGATCGTGGCTTTACCAGATGATACAAATATATACTGCGGTCGCGAGAACACAGCAGTAAGTTTTCACACATAAATACTGTCTTATCTCACATTGTTCAGATACTCAGGCGAAGTAAACTGTTTATATGTCCTCCATAATACAGAGCAATCTCAAGTTTGCACTATCCGTAGAACCAAAGAATGAAACTCTTCGGTCTTATGCAACCCAAGTCGCTCATCTTCGCAGCCAGGGACTCCCATCGGTAAAATATCTCATCTTTTCTCTTTCTCCCCTCTCTCTCTCTCTCTCCAAACCTCTTTCTGGATTTCATTTGCGGGTTTTTGTCTGTAGATTCCAACGACTGTTAAGGTTGAGAAAGCTTGTAACCCGTTCCTCAGAACATCGAGCAAAGATATCCGCAGATCTTTAAGCATTCCAGACTCAGCAAACGAAGCCGAAGCACTGCATCGTATACACAGAGCCAGAGATCGTTTCTAAAAACTTGGGTGTCTTTCTTATTGTATAGTTGGAAAATCATCATCAGCTGCAAAGATTAATTATTCTGTATGTTTTGGGCTTTTTCCAGTTATGATTTGGATTTTCATTCAAACAGAGAATATCTATATATATTTAGCTGGGTCAATTATGAATTTTCAAGTGTAATATATATGCTTTTTCGTTTTGCATCAACATGACGTACGTGTATGTAGATACGTTTTAGCTCACTCTTCCAACGCTTGCCAAAATTCTAACTTTGGAAATCATTAGTTTGGTGGGTTGATGGATTTGGTTCACCAAACCGTAGAAGTGAAATCTCAACCGTGCGTCTATGAATTATTTTTGATTTACGATTTTTGTAATCAGCAAGCAAATAATTTTTATTATTTAACAAGAACTATATAGTATTCTATCGTAAGTTATTACGTTTATATACTGGAAAAATCTCAATATAAATGAAAACGCTAAAGCCTAAAGGTTTCGCGTTTGCAAGCATATGATCTGCCCGCCAAGCAAGCATATACATACTGTATTCAGCTTTTTCTGCATTTTGCACCCAACTCCACTCGGCCCTTTTTCTCTGAGTTGACTCGCGAGTTATATATTGCGAAGCCGATAGAGCGAGAGCTGGGGTTCATTCGACGATAACAATGGAGGAAGATGCCGATTCTCTTCTTAAGACCTGTGTCGTCCTTGGCGGCCGAGGGTTCATTGGCAGATCGCTCGTCTCCAGGTTGCTTCGACTCGGAAGCTGGACAGTCCGAGTCGCTGATTCCGCTCAGACTCTCCATCTCGACGAGTCCGATTCGGTCCTCGAGGATGCTCTCTCTTCTGGCCGCGCCTCTTATCACTGCGTCGATCTTCGTGATAAACCTCAGATCGTTAAAGGTATTTTTCCTATGTACTTATCGTTTCGATTCTAGATGCTTGCACTTTGTTGAAATTGAGGTTTTAGACAGAGGACAGATAGGTGTTTGGTATCTGAGTAAAATGCAGTGGGAGAATTTTTGGATATGGGATTTTGGGTTCTGATTGAGTAATGCATTTGAGATTTTAATGTTTTTGATGTTGTGCTGTGATTGTAACATCATATGGCTGTTTTGTTCACTGCAGCTACGGAGGGTTCCTATGTTGTGTTCTACATGGGAGCTGCTGATTTACGTTCCCATGATTACTTATACTGTTACAAGGTTATAGTTCAAGGTAAAGTTCATACTCATTTTATTCTACTAATATTGTTGTTGGTTTGGGTGAAGAATCGATTTCTCATATAATTATTTGTCTCCAACAGGCACAAGAAATGTGATTTCCGCTTGTCGTGAGTCTGGAGTCAGAAAGCTTATCTACAACAGTACTGCTGATGTCGTTTTTGATGGTTCCCAACCTATACGTGATGGTGATGAATCCTTGAGACTTCCTTTGAAGGTAATCCCTGAGCATGATTGTTTAATTGTTTTTTTTTTCTTTTTCTTTTTTGCTTTTGCTCTTGCTCAGGAATGATATCTGTTTTGCTCCGATTGTGTTGCAGTTCCAATCTAAGTTGACAGACTTCAAAGCTCAAGCAGAAGCGTTGATCAAATTTGCTAACAACCGTGATGGTCTCTTAACTTGTGCACTTCGCTCTAGCATTGTGTTCGGACCTGGTGACTCGGAGTTTATACCTTTCTTAGTGAATCTAGCCAAATCCGGATATGCAAAGGTCTGACTATTTCATCCCATTTTCTCGTTGACGTGTGTATTGTTGGATCATGTTATCATGAGAATCTGTTCGTTCTTATTTTTGGCATCAGTAAGCTAGACCCTGTAACTGTTTGTGTGTCCTAAATTTTGTTCTTGCCTCAGCTCACCCTATATTCTAAGTTTGTCAAAAGGTTTGACATAACAGACACTTCCTCAGCTAGATTCATTACTATATTATCATTATATGATGCCTGGTAGTTTTCCTTTTGGATGGCAATGGCATTTTCCTTAAGCGTCGGTTTTCTTTTCTTTTTTTTTGGGAATGACCGTCTTGTTTTTAATATTTCAGTTCAGAATCGGGAATGGTGAAAATATGTCTGATTTCACTTACTCTGATAACGTTGCTCATGCACATATTTGTGCCGTAGAAGCATTAGATTCACATATGGAGTCTGTTGCTGGAAAGGTAACCATGATGCTCACTTATTTGTCAAAACACTCCTGAAAGCGCTCAAACTTTATATATGATGAAGTTTTCTGTGCCGATTATTTGTAGGAATTTTTTATCACTAACCTTGAGCCTGTCAAATTTTGGGACTTTGTAAGCCACATAGTTGAAGGTTTGGGATACCCAAGGTAAATAAGCATTTTAACAGTTTTTGTTAAAAGGATATTTGTGTTGAATTCCTTTATTATGCTATTTCCTGATTATCCGGTGTCTGCTGCAGCGCTTACAAAGATCCATCAGAATTTATGAACCCACCCTGAATGTTCCATTCTTAATTCGTCTGCATTCTTATCATCCTTCTGTTAATAGATGTCATGAACAACAATCTAGTGGAACTGTTTCGAGTAGAGCCATATATATTTTTATCAGAAAATTATATAATGATTCTCGGTGTTATTTATACTAGCTTATACATGGTCGTACATGTTTCCTTCTCTTATTCCCTAGGGCATTTGATCATTTTGAAAAGTTTCAGATCCTGAAAGCCAAGTTTTTGCCTTTCTGGTTTACCTGATTTGATACTTTTCTTGTCTTTTATTGCAGACCATCCACTAAACTTCCTGTTCGGCTGGTTTCGTTTGTTCTGTCACTTCTTAAATTGACACAAGAAAAGGAGGGCATTGGAAGTTATTATGACACTGCTCATCAGTTTGCTCTGTTAGCTTCCTCAACGAGAACTTTTAACTGCAATGCAGCTAAGAAGCATCTTGGTTACAAACCTGTTGTGACACTTAAAGTGAGTTTACTTTAGATAATATTTTGTTTCATCATATTCAGCTGATTGATAGTTCCCTTGCTTACAATAGCTCTTGTTGAATTTGTAGGATGGTATTGTATCAACGGTTCAGTGGTTCTCTCGCGATCTTGAGAAATCTGATGATACGAAAATTCAGTCTAAAGCAGATGAGCTTCTTGGTTGTGGAAAAGGTTAGAACCATGTCCCTATTAATAATTATAATGGTCTGATGATGTCATCCCGCTACATTGCTTTGAGTCTGTTTCTTATTTAGCTACGGATATGATGCAAACTGCATGCTTATAAGGCTTAGCCTGGAAAGAATCTATCTCTGTTCTTATCTTAGATATATTGCTTCTATATATCTAGAACATGCTGATGTAGCTGCCCAGTCCATCTACATTCGCTTCCAGACACATCTAATTTTATGCAAGTTCCAACTGCATATCATGCACATATAAACAAACTCTGTGCGAGTTTGGTCTATGCAACTGTTAACTCTCCTTAAGTTGACGAAATGTTTCTATCTTATGTTCCTGCAGTGGCAGACATCTTACTATGGAGAAATGAGAAGAATACATTTGTATCTTTTCTATTCCTCAACTTTTTATATTACTGGTTCTTTTCTGGAAACACATTTACATCGTCGGCAGCCCAACTTATGTTTCTATTTGCTGTTGCTCTCTATGGACTCGCTTTTGTGCCGTCAAACATGTAAGTTGTGATTCTTAAAAGTGGCTTTCTCTTTACCACTACAGAAAACAGTGAACGTGGTTTGTGATACTAAAATTGTCCTATGCATACATGTATATATATATATATATATATGTTTCTCTTTTGAATCTATCACATTATAGTGACAGGTTTTGCTTTTTTCGACAGCTTTGGGTTTCAAGTCAAGAAAATACCCCCGTGGAGATTTGAGATCTCAGAGTCTGCGGTAAGAGATCTTAGCAGAGATATCGTAGTAGTATGGAACCACGGAGTTCGCAGTTTTAAATCCTTAAACAGAGGAGGAGACTGGATCATGTTCTTCAAGGTATAATAATACTCTCTACGCACTTCTTCTAATGCTCAAAAAACTTGAAAAAACCTCATTTCTCTCGTTTCCTCAAAACCAAAAAACAGATTGCGGGATCACTATATCTCCTGAAACTGATCTTATCGCGCTCCTTGGCAACATTCATATTCACAGGTATACAAAGCTTTTTGGTATTTGTACATATCTTTTATCTACTACTCTTCCTGACCATAACATTTGAACGATTTACTTAACAGCGATGTCATTCTCGTTCACTTCTTTCTTCATCTATGAGCAATACGAGCTTGAGCTCTATCACCTAGCCCGGATCTTCATAGAATGCGTAACAGTTGTTAAAGGGATGGTGCTGAAGAACCTTCCTGTTTCTGATACTTCGTCTAAACCAATGTTCATGTGAAGCTTCCAAGTCCAGAAAACGAACACAGCGATCTCGGGGACTGACCGCAGTTATTAAATGTTTATCTACTGACAAAGATGCTATTAAAAATCCTTATTTTTAGACTGTAATCTTGGTGACGGAATCAAAAAGTTGTTGTTACTGAGAGACAAATATTCATGGTATTTTACAAATTTGCCATAACGACTATAAACGCAGCGTTCTATTTTTTCTTAAACATAAAACGCAGCGTTCTTAATTTAGCAAAAGTATCCATCCACAAATTAAAAAATATATATATAATTAGAAGAAAAATAATATTCACAATGTGACAAAGGGAAATTAATTATGTATATATCCTTTGAAGACCCGCCGCTTCGATGATCTTTGCTCTCGCTTTTTCTCTCTCTAATCTATCTTCTTCTTCTATCTCTTTTCTAGGGTTCTCCTCTCCTCTCAGTTGTTAGGAATTGACGACGCATCTTTCTCTGAATTTTTCTCGGTCAACGTACTATTGCTTCATCGCACAATTCGGCTCTCGTTTTCGACTCGGGGATATCAAATCTGATAATCTCTAGGTAAACTATCAATTCGGGGATTCGAAATTTGATCCCAAGGATTGCCAAATCCTTAACTCTGAAGATGGCGACAGCTATGAAGCCTTTCAGATCACGTGAAGCTGATGAATCGGGTTTCAAGTCGAACAATCTATGGGTCGGTAGCCTTACGATGGATACCACGGAGTCAGATCTGACAGAGCTCTTTGGAAGATTCGGCGATATTGATAGAATTACGGCGTATTCTTCCCGTGGATTTGCGTTCATCTACTACAGACACGTTGAGGAAGCCGTCGCAGCCAAGGAGGCCCTTCAAGGGGCGAATTTGAACGGAAGTCAGATTAAGATCGAATACGCGCGACCGGTTTGTTCTTATCTCTTTGATTTGTTAGTTTTATCTCGTCTTCGTTTGTTCCCTAGCTTTGATGGTCTTTTGTCAACGATGATACTGTCTTTACGATTCCATTCTTTAGGTTCATATATCTTGACCGTGTTTGATGCTTCTTTAGTCCAAAACAAAATTGTTGAGTCTGAGTTTTTCTCCTCGTACAAATCAATTCAAAATCAAAACCCAAACCTAGATTTATGTATATATTTTTTTTAGTTGTGCGAAACCTGATCCGGTCTTAACTAAGAGGAACGCATTTCTCAAACCTTAGTTTTGTTTTATCGCAACGATCTAATCAAACTCGCGCCAAGTTAACCACAAAGAGCGAGCTTATCCTCGAGTGTGGTGCAAAATTTGAGTGTCAAAGCATATAACGAATGCATCAAGCACCATGTTTTCTCTCGTTTACGAGTTTGCAGCAAAAGCGTTGATTCAGTTATCGTCGCTTCGGTCTGCAATATCTTCACACTTGTGTCCGAGTAAACTAGTCTGATTTCAGGTTTGCTCCAGATGAGCCCACTATAGACTAATCGAACAAGCTTGAGTATGAATGAATTGCGTACAGCACCCGAAAATTCGCAAGGTAAATGCTAGGTGAAAATTTGGAAGCTTAAGCTAAGCATATCGATCATCGCCAAACAAATCAGAAATTGGGAGTTTTAAAGTTCAGTTCCATGCGAAAATAAACCGACTGGAGAAATTTGTAAATTCCGGCGAGATATTCTGTACTGCAGATGTCAACAGCTGCACTTGGGGAGTAGTTTTTACTTTCTGATAACATTAGTCCAGATTCCTCGTATCGCAGACACGATTCCATGTCAGCGTGGGAGAGCTTTGTGCTTGTTTTGGCTTGAAGATGAAGTAAGACAATTTTGCGTCGTCGTCGTGAAGCAGCTACTCTCTTTCCTCAACCAATAAGAAACGTGAAAGATGTTATGCTCAAACAGTGAAAATGGCCTCTCGTGAAACGGCTCTTTGTAGAATCCTGCTTATCACTGTGTCTTGCCGTACGTAAAATCTCTTGTTTCCCAGCTCAGTTCCTTGAGGAGTATAATTTGTACCGAGAAATCCTGAGTTTAGTATATTTGGTCCGAGCCAATCTGCAGTGATCAAGACAGACATTCCTTTCCAGACAGTGTTAAGATCTTTCGGCTTTGAGCTTCTGACTGAATGTCCCAGGATTGGTTTTATTTGTAACGAGAAATCCTGAGTTTAGTCAATTCTGCAAGGACAAGTGAGGACAAGAATGCTTAGCAGAAAGTGTTAATGTCTTGTCCCCTTTGGGGACGGCATGCGTCTCCTTATGACAAAGGAGAAAACTATTCACACCGATTGACAAAGGAAGAGAATATGTTTCCTTGCAGGAATGTTGTTTTGTGTATTAGGATAGCAACTGATATGAATTGGTGACATAACGTTTTTGAAATTATTGTTTCCGTGTGTGTTAAAATTCCTTGATGCTTTCGAATTTGTATTCATGACTGGCAGTTTTCTGTATAACATTATTGTATCGCCTTCTTATAGACCTTTTGTTTTTGTAGGCAAAACCTTGTAAGAGTCTTTGGGTGGGCGGAATCAGCCCAAGTGTCTCAAAGGATGACCTGGAGGCAGAATTCAGGAAATTTGGAGAAATCGAGGATTTTAGGTTTCTTAGGGAACGCAAGACAGCTTTCATTGATTACTTTGAGATGGAAGATGCCCTACAGGCAAGGAGCATGAATGGCAAGCGAATGGGTGGTAGCTATCTGCGCGTTGATTTTCTCCGGTCACAAGCACCAAGAAAAGTAAGCATTCTTGAGACATTTAGTTTTTACTTATGATAACGCTCTAGCAGCCATTTCTTTGTTTTTATTATCAGTTTTAACTTTTCTTTGCTGAAATCAATTTTACATTTTCTTTATCTTTAGGAACAGTGGGCTGGCTCTTACGATAACAGGAATGGCAATGTGAATCATAAACCTCAGGTTCGTCTTAAATGTTGAAAATAGTTTCTTTTTTGTTGCTGCTGATACGTATCTGTTAATTGGCTTTGACGTTTTGTTATATGTTTACAGTATACTCACTCACATGAAGATGCCAACGGGGATGACCAGCCAAGTAAGGTTCTGTTTATTGGGTATCCTCCTTCTGTTCAGATAGATGAGCAAATGCTACACAATGCAATGATACTCTTTGGTGAGATCGAAAGGAAAAAAAGCTACCCATCAAGGCATTTTTCACTTGTGGAGTTTAGGAGCATGGAGGAAGCTCGCCGTGCCAAGGAAGGTCTACAGGGGAGGTTATTCAAAGATCCTAGAATCAGAATTATGTACTCAAACGATGAGCTGCCTCCTGAGCAAGATGATACTAGTTTTTACTCTGGCGTGAAACGTTCAAGACCAGATATGTTCATCAATGATCCTTCATTTGTATCTTCTCCTCATTCTACTGGAGTTCCTGGGTCTATGAGGCCTTTCAGAGGTGGCAATGAGCGTTCGTATAATGCTTCAGAATTCAACGACGTTGTTGGTAAGGAGCCAAACTGGAGGAGGTCATCTCCAAATGGCACTGGAATACTCCCATCTCCAACAGGACCTGGAATCCTCCCATCTCCTGCACAAGGTATGAGGCACCCTGCGAGGTCAATTTTCTTATTCCTTTGGATATGATCCTGCTCAGCCTGACAGAGAAAGCAAACGAACAAGAAGAGATGGATCGGTGGATGGTTTTGCTCCAATGGGTGTCGATGAGAGGCCATTTGGGCGTGGTTCAGTTGCTGCTAGGCCTATCCGCGGTCACCCTGATTCTGATTACATGTGGAGAGGAATGATTGCCAAGGGTGGAACTCCTGTCTGTTGTGCTCGTTGTGTACCTATTGGAAAGGGGATTGAAACTAAACTGTGAGTACCATTTACCCGCATTTTTAACCCTTCATATTTGTTTTATGAGAACCATATCATTCATAATATTATTTTAAATAGGGAATTGTAGGTTAACTATTGCTTTTATAGTTGCTGAGATGCCTTGATTTGCGTGGTGCTGATGCGCTAACTATTGACATTGCCCTTCAATTGCTGACTTTGGTCTATTTTTTTTTTTATAATTGATTTTAGCCCTGAGGTCGTCAATTGTTCAGCAAGAACTGGTTTAGACATGCTCGCCAAACATTACACTGAAGCCATTGGATTTGAGATAGTTTTCTTCTTACCAGACAGTGAAGAGGATTTTGCGTCTTACACCGAATTTCTCCGCTACCTCGGCTCAAAAAATCGAGCAGGTGTTGCCAAATTAGATGATGGAACAACTTTATTCTTGGTGCCTCCATCAGATTTCTTAACTGATGTACTCAAAGTGTCCGGACCAGAGCGGCTATATGGTGTAGTTCTCAAGTTGCCCCCACCAGCCGTTCCTGTTGCAGCACCGTACAGACAAGAATCTCAGTCCAATCCTCTGCCTTATATGGATCAAGCCCGGGATTCACCTGCCAATGCCAGTCATGGTTTATATCCTCCTGCTAAACCTTCGGCTAGTGAGCCTCTCAGAATGCCTAACAATGCTGGGGTTAGTTTAACGCCAGAGCTTCTAGCCACTCTGGCCTCTTTTCTCCCTGCAACTTCTCAACCTGCTGGCCCCGAGAGTCACCAACCTATGCCAGGCACTTCAACAGTCGTTTCCGCAGTAACTCAATCCAATGGACTGTACAATGGAGAAGCACCGTCTCAAGCTTGGAACAGAGATCCACAAACAGTCCATGATGCCTCAAATCAGTCGTTCCAACAATATGGAAATCAGTACAATCCAGCCGGGCAACTACCTCCTCCTCCTCCTCCTCGTTACGCTCCAGCTTCAAACAACCCCAACTACTCTAGTGGAATGGTCCATGGAAACATGCAATACCAAGGCCAGTCTGTTAACATGCCTCAGCTATCTCCGTTACCGAATATGCCTCATAATAACTATGCCATGTACACTCAGGGTTCGTCAAATCAAACTGTTTCTCAGCCCATGACACAGCAATACCAACCAGAAGCTTCCGTGCCAAACCAAAACTATGGTCCAATTCCAAGTTATCAGCAATCCAGTTATCATGGTGTAACAACAAATCAGGCGCATAATTTAAACGCTTCCCAATTCCAAGCTGCCATGCAACCATCAGCTGACAAGGCAACCGTGGAGCCACAAAGCCAAGCACCACAGCTGCAGCCTGTGCTCTCTGGGGCTGGTCAGGGTTCAACAGATGGGGAGGTCGATAAGGACCAGAGATACCAGTCAACACTGCAGTTTGCAGCAAACCTTCTTCTGCAGATACAGCAGAAGCAGCAGCAGCAGCAGCAATAGTCTTTGGGTTCTCGGGCTGGACAGGGCTCTTAGCTCGTCTTCGTTATGTTGTTTTTTTTTGGATTTTTCTTTTTCTTTCTTCTGTTCTTAATTAGTTCTTTCTTTTTTTTGTATTACAAAACAAATCCTCCTTATGATATCAAAATTGTTGACGGTATATTTCAGTCGAGAAACCCAAAGTTTTCTTTTTGGTTTTCTCAAGTCTCTTTCGAAACTACCCGTTATACACCAAACGAAACACTAACGCTAACGCACATTTTCTATCAAAAAACTCCAACATATACGGTTTTGTTGAATTTATTAATCAAAAATGCTAAAGTGATACATTATTAAAATCTTGGGGACTACAAGAGGGAATAAGCAGAGCCTCCACCACCTTCGGGCACTGTCCACTCTATGTTCTGCTTTGGATCTTTGATGTCACATGCCTTACATTAAAAAAAGTACCAAAACAACGATTTAAGCTTTTCTCCAAAATCAATTGGGTCACATGAATACACACTAATTATAGTCCATTAACTCCATCAAGTGATGCGTACCTTGCAGTGCAAACAATTTTGGGCGTTGGACTGCAGTTTCAGCTTACCCTCTTCATCTTCTACATATCTTTTTAATCAATGCAGAAACAGGTTGAATATATTGTCCACGTATGCTGATCTATAGATCAAAGAGAGAAAGGGAACTCTAGTGCAGTTTGTGTCATGGTACAAACCTGTATAAGATGTTGGCACATCAAACGTTAAAACACCATCTGGCTGTGGTTACTCAATTGGCGTGCATTTCCGAGCAAGCTGCATAAAGATATAGCTCGACTTCAGTTGTGTTTAAGCCAATGAGTGCTGAAAGTAAAATCATATTAAGAAACAAAACATACATGAACGACATATTCAACAGAATCTCGATTTCAGGTTGATGGTCTTCTTAATTTTGGTACTCTTTTGAATCACCAGAAATCACTACACGAACATTCACCGTCTTGAAAATGATGAAACCTGTTTGAATCTCTCAAGATTATCTGTCTCCCTTCGATCTTTGATATATACTTGAATGCAGAGTGGCAATCACCGCAAACTCTGAGGTTCTTCATTATTCTGATGGGCAGCGTAGAGCTCCTCTGGGCAATGAGAACAAAAGCTACAGCGAGCTTCTCGCTGTGATAGCTCAGAATCTCTTCCTTGTTTTCTTGCTCTAGATCATACAAGGCGAATCCTGTCTGTGGCACATAACCTGCGTCTCTCATCTTTATGTTGAGCTCCTTGAGCTTCTTGTAAATCAAATCAGCGTCCGGGTGTGACTTATCACCAGCAACAAACATATGGACTCCATCCTTCATTGTGACCCAACTGTAACCAGCTTCCTTTTTCACATCTGCATCTTTCATCTTCTTTCTCGCCTTCACTAAATCTTCCCATCTTCCTCCAGCAGCATACATGTTACCAAGCAGCACATAATTTACAGCGTTTTCTGGCTCCAATTGAAAAAGCATTTCTGCTGCCTTCCTCCCTAACTCTGCTTTTCGACCATTGGCTCTGCAACAAGCCCCAAGTACAGTCCTCCATATGAGAACATTAGGCTTCATCGGCATTTTAACGATGAAATCTTCCAGCTTATCGAGTTCACCAGCACGGCCTAGCAAGTCAGCCATACATGAGAAGTGTTCAATCCTAGGAGCTAAGCCATAAGAATAACTCATAGATTCGAAATGTTTAAACCCTTCTTTAACCAAACCCGCGTGGCTACAAGCTGACAAGACTCCCACGAATGTAACATGGTCAGGTGGTGTTTCGCCATCGAGCTTCATATTTGCAAATAGCTTCAAAGCTTCTTCTCCTTGCCCATGTCGTGCATAGCCCGAAATCATCGAGTTCCAAGAATATGAATTCTTCACAGGCATTGCGTTGAAAAACCTCAAAGCATAATCTAGTCTTCCACATTTGGAGTACATGTCAACGAGTGCACTCCCAACAACCACATCAGATTCTAACAAAGCTCTCACCGAGCAAGCATGCACTTCCATGCCACGCTCTAGCGTTGCAACCGAAGCAAATGCGCTAAGAACCGTCGCATACATGAAATTATCCAATCGTTGACCGGTCTGCAACAAGATACACACCAAGTCTAAGGCTTTGCCAAAGAGCTCGTTATGTATATACCCCGAAATCATGGAGTTCCAACTTACATCATCTCTTCTCTCTAACATTCTAGAAAATATCTTCTCACACTCATCCATCTCCTCACACTTCCCATAACAAGCTATAAGCGCATTTTCAATGGTTGCTTCATCTGCAATATTGTACTTTAAGGCTAGCGCGTGTATTTGCTTTCCCAGTTCACCGGATGAAAGGGATGACACAGCTGAAAGAACGCTTGAAAAAGTGATTCTGTTAAGTTTTTGTCCTGCTCGTTGCGCATTCAAAAAACATGCCACGGCTTCAGGTACTGACCCTTCTGAACTAGCTAAAGCTCCTATCATGGAATTCCAAGACACCTGATCATGCTCTGGCATCAAGGAAAATATGTTACGGCATGCGTTGAGATTGCTGGTCTCGGCATACAGTGTAATAAGCGCATTTGAAACTGAAACATTCAAATCAAGCCCCAATTTGAGGCTTTCTCCATGAATCTGTCTTCCAACTTTTGCCCACTTCAAGCTCGCGCATGAGCTGAGTGAACTAATCAGTGTGAAACTTCCAGGCAAGATTTCATGTCGTCTCATACTTTGGTAGCGTTCCAAAGCTTCTAAAAAAAGGCCGTTTTGGTCAAGACCAGTGATCATGGAGTTCCAGGAGACAGAATCTTTCTCCCTCATGAAACAGAAAACACGTCTAGCATCATCTATTGAGCCGCACTTAGCATACATATTAACAAGGCCATTTCCAATGCCAACCATGAAGTCAACTAAGCCGGTTGTTATTACATGCCCATGAACCTCTCTGCCTTTTCTCAGACCTACTTCCTCAGCTAGAAAATACTCAGGAAATGAGCTCAGGAGATTTACGTATGACTCAGGACTAACATCAATCATGCTTTTCATGTCCATAAAGAGCTTAGTTGCTTCTTCTCCCCGTTTCTGTCGCACCAGACCAACCATTAGACCGTTTAAGGTGACTGCATTTCTTGTTTCCATCTGATTAAAAATCTTCCTAGCATAACTCAATGAGCCTGACTTTGCAAATGCACTCACCAATCCGCTTCCAACAAAAAGGTCTGAGAGAAAACCAGATTTCTGGATAGTGCACATGATCTGCTGTAGCAAACTAACATCTGGTTTAGCCAAAGAACAAGCACTAGTTACAAGACTACCGAAAGTGTACTCAGTTGGTCTAGAACATTCACATTGCATGCTAGAGAACATCTTAAACGCAGATCTCAAATTCCCAGTCTGTGAATATACAGATATGATCGAATTCCATGATACAGAATTTTTAACTTTTATGTCATCGAAAGCACGAAGAGCACAGCTAAGAGACCCTATGCATTTCCAGTACATTGATATGAGGACATTAGAAACTACTGCATCCACTGCATAGGAAAGTTTGAACATTAGGCCATGAATTTGTCTCCCGAAATGAATGCCGACAGAATCTAACTCTTGACAAGCTCGAAGCACACTAGCAAAAGCGTATTGATTTGAAAAAACCCCTTCTTTGATCATATTTCTCAAGAACAATAAAGCTTCCCTATGTTCTCCATTCCGGCTATACCCTGAAACAACACACGCCCATGTAACACAGTTCCTGTGAGGCATTTCTTCAAACACCTTACGTGCAGAGACCGAATCACCCGTTCCAAAATAATCATTGATGAGGTTGTTGCACAAGTACACATCTTCCTCTAGACCATTCTTATACAATCGCGAATTAAATTGTTTAGCTCCTTCATTTCCAACGCAGCTCTAAGCAAAAGAAAGAAGATCGACAACATGGCTTAGGAAAAAGGAAAAGACTTACGTTTAGAAACGACATGAAAGAAGTGAAAACGATCAAAACCAGAAAACAAATCAGTTTCTTTGGGTCGTGCTTTGCAATAAAAAAAAAACCATTCTGTTTTTGCCTTGTTCGTAACACAGAGAATACAAACAAAAAAAATCTTAGGACAGAAACAGAGGGAGGGAGACAAACCTGTTCGTGTCTCCAATGTGGAAGAAGGTCATCAAGTGCCACAGGTTCAAAAACATTACGAGATATGATGTGTGCTCCTACAAATCGAAATTCGATAGTTAATGTATATGACAACCAACTTCAAGAATCCAAGAGATAGAGATAGATACAGAGAGACCAGATAACTTTCAAAGATTAATACTTTGAGAAAGACAAAGACTAAAAACGGACCTACTTCTGCTCCTTTCTCAACGAGAACATCATCGTACTCTATCGACTCTCTTCCCGCTTCACTGCTGATACATCTACTCCCATTTATTCCTAAATTCCTCGAATTTGCGCTTAAATTTCGCGAATTTCGAAACAACACGGCGGAATTAGGACACCCATATGGAGGAACGAATCTATGCATGATCACTTAGTAATCTAATTGACTGTTAGACCCAAGAAGAACAAGTGAGCCGGTGGTGCTCTGCTCCGGTGTGTCAAGAAAGAGAAAACAAAACAAAACAGAAAGGTCTAATTTTGAGTGTCAGACGAAAAGTGTCTTTAGTTCCACGAGCTGACCCCACATGGGTTTTGACCTTTGAATGTGATTTTGGATTTTTTTTTTTTTTTTCTCTTTTTGTAACGAGTTATCTTTTGTTTTTCTATTAATACAGATATGCCCCATGATGTCAAAATAGTTGATGTCAATTTTATTTTAAACAAAATTGTTGATAGTTGAGAAATTAGTTCTCTCAAGTTTCTTTTTTTTTTTTTGGTTTTTCTTATACCACTTTCGAATCTACTTTCTTTCGCCTACCCGTTAATGTCAAATGAAAGTTTACAACAAACAAAACACTAATTTTTATATACATTCTATTAAGAAAATTCAAGACAAATATGATTTTGTTGACTTGAGACTCATTTATTTATCGGATATGGTAAACTGAGAGGTTTGTTGATGAATATTGGGGACTACATGAGGGAATACGCAGGGCCTCCACCACCTTCAGGCACTGTCCACTCTATGTTCTGCTTTGGATCTTTAATGTCACATGCCTTTTACATAAAA